TGCACTGAAATGAATCATGGGATATGTAGTTCCCGATGTTTATAAACTGTTGCTACTATAAAACAAAGCATTTAAGCAAAGGAACATGTAACTCGATATATTTCGACAGTTCTCGATGTTATTGTGAGACTTTTGACGATACGATATCACGATATTTCGGTTATTATCTACTATTTATTTAATTACAGGCCAGTTTTATGTTATAATGTTGTTTCCTCATCACAAACAGACCTGGAGTTGTGTTTTTTGTTTCCTTCACGCATGTTTAACACACAAACTCTGCTCCACTGTGTTTTTAAACTCCGTACACTTTCACTAGAATCATTTGGATTGTATAACTTTAGCATTTTGAGCTTTGAGTAATCCAGAATTATTTGTTTCTCTGCATTTCTAAACATATAAATGCAACAAAGCACAACTCCAGGTCTGTTTTTGAGGAGGTAACAACATTTCCAACTTGACTTATAGCTCTCAAGAGTCTACTTTGTGTAATATTCAACCTTTAATGCCGCACTGTGGATCATTTCCAGAAAAAAGCAACATTTCCATGCAGGTGTCTTACCCTCCCCCTGAAAAGTTACATAATGAACCTATAAAATTAGTTGTAACTGTTAGAAGTGGCAATACCAGTTCTGTCCTCCCTTCCAAAAAGTTAGCATTTTACTGCAAATAATTACATAAATGTTACTTGTTAAATTAAATGGTGAATCTGCCATCTGCTGGTGAAAAAATAAAAATAAACAAACGTACAGATGGTGGCTTTAATGGACACAGTATGCAAAAAAGATACAGCATTTTCTTGTCTAACACTTTCTAGTTTTATCAGTGGTGGAAAAACTACTCTATTTTGTTATTTAAAGGTGCATTGTGTAACTTTTTGGTTGTCGGTCAGTCATTTCTCTGCCTAGAATGTTCCACAGTATGACTTTAAACAGCTCTACCTTACATTTATTCAATTACAGGTGGTTTTATAGCTTAAAAATACCTAGAAAAACAACATTCTGACTGTGAGCGGGGTCGCTTCTCCACAGATCTGACCTGTAACTTGGTCTGGTTTGGTCTCCATGAAAATAGAAAGGTTTAATGTCATACTAAAAATGAAAAATTCCAGACAAAGCAACAACATTTCCATGAAGAAAAGCATTTGACGGACTCTCCACCAGAAAAGTAACACAGTGCACCTTTAATTTTACACTTTAACTATCTGTACTTTACATAAGTAGAGTTTAAAGTGGATATTTTTTTACTTTTACTTCACTACATTTGCGAGCAGGTATCTGTACTTTCTACTTCACTACGTTTTTTTTAACAGGAGTCAAAAGTAAAAGTATTTTTGGTATAGTTTGAGACCTGCTGAAAAGACTGAGGGTTTATTTTTAACACATTCGTAATTTGAGTAAACAAAAATATACAAATAAAAAAAGTTAGGAGAAACAAAATTCAGCACAAATCTTTATCAAAATCACCACATTTGAAGCCTCATAAAAACTTCCAATCTGTGTGCAAAACTTCTACTTTTTTCACTTTAAGTACATTTTTAAACAGGCACTTTTATATTTTTACTTCCAGAGTGAATTTTTTCATGTGGTACTTTTACTTGAGTTTTTTTTATTTATTTTTTTGCTCTGGTAGCTGTACTTTTACATAAATTTTTTTTCCACCAGAAAAGTTACACAATGCATCTTTAAGTAAAAGTACAACTACCACAGTAGTATCAAAGTATCAAATGAAAAAAAAAAAGGTAAGTAAGTAAAAATATTGAAGTACCTGTTTAAAAAAATGCTGTTTTCATGCAATTTTTTTTTTTTTTTCGAATATTGTGATTTTATTAGAGATTTGTGCTGAATTTTTAAAGTTTTTTTTTTCCCTAGCTGTTTTTATTTGTATATTTTTGTTTGCTCATATTATGAATGTGTGTATAAAATAAACCCTCAGCCTTTTCAGCAAATCTCAAACTATAACAAAAATACTTTTACTTTTGAAAGTACAGACACTTGCTCTCAAATGTAGTGAAGTAAAATTTAAAAAAATATCCACTCTGAAATCTACTTAAGTAAAGGACAGATAGTTAAAATGTGTAATTAAAGGTACATTGTGTAACTTTTCCAGTGGAGGGTCCGTCAAATGCTTGTCTCCATGGAGATGTTATTGCTTTGTCTGGAATGTTTCACAGTATGGAGACAAGTTACAGGTCAGATCTGTGGAGAGGCAACCCCGCTCACAGTCAGAATGTCTGTTTTTCTAAGTATTTCTGAGGTATAAAACCACCTGTAATTGAATAAACGTAAGGTAGAGCTGTTTAAAGTCATACTGTGGAACATTCTAGAGCAATGACCTCTCCATAGAAACAAGCAGGTGACGTACCCCTAACCAAAAAGTTACACAGTGCACCTTTACTTTTACTTCATTATGCTCCACCATTGCTATGTATCACCAAATGTTGAGCTAGTTTCTTTTTTTTTTCTTCATATTTTCATATTTTTATTTTATTTTAATTATTTAGTTTTAATTCTTTAGTTTTAATTTAATTTATTTATTATTTATTTTTTTATTTTTTTTATTTTTATTATCAAATTTTTCTTATTTAAATTTTTTACTTTTCTGTTTTAATATTTGTCTTAATTTGTGTTTTTTCAGACTGGTACAGAGGACATCGGCTGAGAAGAAAATCCAAAAAGGTGAGCCCCTCCTCCACAGCTCTGACTTTACTGAACTTTGAAATAAATCTTGTTGTTATGACAGTTTGTGTTTGTTTTGTTTGTGTTCTTATCTGTTCTTTGTCCAGGGCATATTTCCTGCGTGTTACATCCACCTAAAGGACGCCACAGTCGAGGGCAGCGGGTGAGAGACGCTTCCTGTTTAAAATATGTCTCTGATCTGAGCGCAGTTAACCTCAAATATACACGCAAATATGACGACAGATCCGGGACTGAACCAGGACTAAACCAGGACTAAACCAGGACCGAACCAAGTCTAAACCAAGACTGAACCAGGACTAAACCAGGACTGAAACCAGGACTGAACCAAGGACTAACCAGGACTGAAACCAGGACCAGGACTAAACCAGAAAGACTGAACCAGGACTAACCAGGACTAAACCAGGACTAAACCAGGACTAAACCAGGACTAAACAGGACTAAACCAGGAAACCAGGACTAAACCAGGACTAAACCAAGAAACCAAGACTGAACCAGGACTAAACCAGGACTGAAACCAGGACTAAACCAGGAGACTGAAACCAGGACTAAAACCAAGACTGAACCAAGACTAAACCAGGACTAAACCAAGGTCTAAACCAAGACTGAACCAGGACTAAAACCAGGACTAAACCAGGAAACTGAACCAGGACTAAACCAGGACTAAACCAAGGACTGAACCAGGACTGAACCAAGGACTAAACCAGGACTGAACCAGGACCGAACCAGGACTGAACCAAGGACTAAACAGGACTAAACCAAGAACCAAGACTGAACCAGGACAAACCAGGACTGAACCAGGACTGAACCAGGACTAAACCAGGACTAAACCAGGACTAACCAGACTGAACCAGGACTAAACCAGGACTAAACCAGGACTAACAGGACTAACCAGGACTAAACCAAGAAACCAGGACTAAACCAGGACTGAACCAGGACTAAACAGGACTAAACCAGGACTGAACCAGGACTAAACCAGGACTAAACCAGAAACCAAGGACTAAACCAGGACTAAACCAAGACTAAACCAGGACTAAACCAGGACTAAACCAGGACTAAGGACTTAAACCAGGACTAAACCAAGGACTAAAACCAGGACTAAACCAAACCAGACTAAACCAGGACTAAACCAGAAACCTGAACCAAGGACTAAACCAGGAAACTAAACCAAGACCCAAGACTAAACCAAGACCAGACTAAACCAGGACTAAACCAGGACTAAACCAACTGAAACTAAAGGACTAAACAGGACAAGGACTAAACCAGGACTAACCAGGAACTAAACCAGGACTAAACCAGGACCAAACCAGGACTGAAACCAAACCAGGACTAAACCAAGAAACCAGGACTAAAGACCAAGGACTAAAGAACTCAGGACTAACCAGGACTAAACCAGGACTAAACCAGGACTAAACAGGACTAGAAACCAGGACTAAACCAGGACTGAACCAGGACTAAACCAGGACTAAACCAGGACTAAGGACCCAGGACTAAACCAGGACTAAACCAGGACTAAACCAGACTGACTAAACCAGAACCAAGAACTAAACCAGGACTAAACCAGACTGAACCAACTAAACCAGGACTAAACCAAGAAGGACCAGGACTAAACCAGGACTAAAGTCTAAACCAACTGAACCAGGACTAAACCAGGACTGAACCAAGGCTAAACCAAGTCTAAACCAAGACTGAACCAAGGCTAAACCAGGACTAAACCAGGACTAAACCAGGACTAAATCAGGTCTAAATCAGGACTGAACCAGGACTAAACCAGGACTGAACCAAGGCTAAACCAGGACTGAACCAGGACTAACCAGGACTAAACAAGGACTGAAACCAAGTCTAAACCAAGACTGAACCAGACTAACCAGGGACTAAACCAGGACTTAAACCAGTCTAAACCAGGACTTAACCAGTCTAAACCAGGACTTAACCAAGTCTAAACCAGGACTAAACCAGGACTTAACAAAGTCTAAACCAGGACTAAACCAAGTCTAAACCGGGACTAAACCGGGACTAAACCAGGACTGAACCAGGACTAAAGCAGGACAAAAAGTAGGACTAAAACAGGACTAAGCTAGGCCCAAATCAGGCCTAACCAAGTCAATATAAGAACTAAACCAAGACTAAACCAGGATCAAAAACCAGGACTGAACCAGGACTAAGATAGGCCCATACCAAGCCCAATGAGGCCAAACCAAGTCTATGTAAGAACTAAACCAGGACTAAACCAGGACCAAACCAGAGTCAAGATCACAACATCAGGACTAAACCAGGACCTAACTAGGACCAAACCAAAATCAAGACCACTAAACCAGGACTAAGCCAGGCCTGAACCTGGATTAACCCAAAATTAAGATAGGACTAAAATAGGACAAAGCTGTGCCCAAATCTGGACCAAACCAAATCCATATAAGGACTAAACCAGGACTAAACCAGGACTAAACAAGGATTAATCCAAAACTAAACCAGGAATAAAGTAGGACCAAACCAGGGTCAGAACCACAACATCAGGACTAAACCAGGACTGAACCAGGACCAAACCAAGATCAAAATCACTTAAACCAGGACTAAGCCAGGACTGAACCAAGACTAAACCAGGACTTAACCTGAACTAATCCAAAACCAAACCCGAACCAAACCAGGACCGGTCTAACAGCAGTATTCTTATCTCATGTAATATTTTAATAGTGTAGTGCTGAAGACTGTCCTTGTTCAGCCTCATTTTCATTGAAAGTAAAAAAGATATAAAATTCAGATCAATTCAAATGTGTTTTGAGTATTTCTGCATTAATTCAGAGACGAAGGCTGTTTTTATTTTATGGTGAAGTTATCAAAAGGCCATGAATTTTGAACACTGCAACTTAAAGTTATTTTGAAAGATTGAAACGAATATTAGAGTATAACTTTTAGATGTCCTTCTTAACTTTTCTGGTGAGGAAACCAATACCAACAGTATGGCATTAAACATGTATATTTTGCATTTATTCATTTCAGTACATGTTTTTATTGCTAAGAAATACCTTGGGTTGGTGAGTTGGGTCACCTCTCCACAGATCTGACCTGTAAGTTGACCTCGTAGTGCTTTTTTTTTAAACTTTATTGTTGATAATTTCTTTTCAATTCTGGATTCCCATAAGTTATTACCTCAGAAACAACTATTCCTGCTTTATAAATGTGTTTAATGCCATATTGTGGAACATTCTAAGCCAATAAATAAACAAAACAATATCTACAGGGTTCCCATGGTCATGGTAATCCTGGAAAAAGTCATGGAAACTGAAAATGTCATTTACCAGGCCTAGAAAAGTCATGAAATCTTGTAAATTCAATGGAAGTTTTGGAAAAGTCATGAAATTTTAGTATCTTTTTCATGCAACTACAGCGCTGTGTTAAGTTTTCATTAGGTTATTATGATTATTTCTGAACGTTTGCGACTTTTGTTTAGAAGAGACGACAATAAATGCACTGACAATATTTTGAATATTAAAAAACTATAATACAAAACCATAAGGTGAATGAATGAATGTTTATTCGTACAGTAATACATAGAACATAAATGCAAAGATATAACACATAAAGTAAATATTTCTTTTCTGTAATAATAAGCGAAAATAAATGTCACACAGACTTTATTTGTGTCCAAAAAAGGAGTGGGTAGAAGTAAATACTTATTTAACCCCACCCCTTTTTTCTACTGTCCCAGAAAGGGACCGTAGGTGAGTGGAAAGGGTGAACATTTCATATTGATCCCTGAAAAGTTTTGATCAATTCTACACATGTAGATGCTGTAAAGTCATAGAAAGTTCACTTTAGATCATGAAAAAATCATGGAAAAATTTTGAAATTTTTGTATCCAGAATGTATACTAACTTTATGATTTTTGCTTTTTTTTTTTTCTCGATTCTGTGTCGTTAAAGGCAAAAGGAGACGATCATCCCGACAGAGTTGCCGTTGGTGCAGGAAGTGACGACCACGCTGCGGGAGTGGGCGTCAATATGGAGGGATTTATACGTGGTGAGTCTGGATTAAAGCTGAACTGGTGGAGGGTCCACTTGTTTCCATGGAGATATTGCATTAAACATTATCTTGCATTTGCTCAATAACATGGAGGAAATGCAACTCAATAAAAATGTGTGTTCTTACTGTGAGTGGGTTCACCTCTCCACAGATCTGTCATAAACTTGGCCCTGTCTCTTTAGAGATAAATACGTCTAATTTGACCAAAACCTCGCAATCTACAAGAGTGAAAATTACTGGAATTCAGAATATTTATAATTTTGATTGTAGTAGTTTTGACTATTTTAAGAAAGGTGCGTTGTGTAACTTCTCTGGTGGATTGGCTGTGAACTTGTCTCCAGGGAGATGTTATTGCTTTATTGCCTGAGATATTCCAAAATATGGCATTTTTTCCCCCAAGATCCCAAGAAGTTATAAAACATCTGTAATTGAATCGGTGCAAAACTGATAAGTTTAATGGCTTACTGTGGAATATTCCAGGCAAAGCAATACATAAACCAGAAGTTACATAGTACAGCTTTAAACCATGCCCTTATTTTTCATGTGTTTCTAACTGGGTTTTTTCCATGTATTGAAACATATCTAGTCATACAATCTATTTGAATACATTTCCAAAATGTATTCCACGGAAAGATAATTGAGTGTGAATAGAGAGAAAGAGAAAAATATTGGAACTAATATTGGAAAAAAACAAAAACAAAACACTAACACAAAAACAGGAGGTAATGTAAAGGAAGTAAATTAAGTAAAGTAGTGTAAGTAAAGTAATGTAAAGTAAAGTAAGTAAAGTAAAGTAAAAGTAAGTAAAGTAATGTAAGTAAAGTAAAGTAAGTAAAGTAAAGTAAGTAAAAAGTAAAAGTAAAAGTAATAAGTAAAGTAATGTAAGTAAAGTAAAGTAAAGTAAAAGTAAAGTAAAGTAAGTAAAGTAAAGTAAGTAAAGTAAAGTAAGTAAAGTAATGTAAGTAAAGTAAGTAAAGTAAGTAAAGTAAAGTAAAGTAAGTAAAGTAAAGTAATGTAAGTAAAGTAATGTAAGTAAAGTAAAAAGTAAGTAAGTAAAGTAAGTAAAGTAAAGTAAGTAAAGTAAAAAGTAATGTAAGTAAAGTAAGTAAAGTAAGTAAAGTAATGTAAGTAAAGTAAAGTAAGTAAAGTAATAAAGTAAAGTAAGTAAGTAAAGTAAGTAAAGTAATGTAAGTAAAGTAAAAAGTAAGTAAAGTAAGTAAAGTGAGTAAAGTAATGTAAGTAAAGTAATTTGAGTAAAGCAAAGTAAATAATATATGTAATGCAAGTAATTTAAATAAAGTAAGTAAAATAAAGTAAGTAAAGTAATGAAATTAAGTAAAGAAAGTGAAGTAATTTGAGTAAAGCAAAGTACTATATGTAATGTAAGTCATTTAAATAAAGTAATGCAAGTAAAGTGAGTAAAGTAAGTAATTTAAATAAAGTAAGTAATGCAAGTAAAGTAAAACTAAGTAAGTAAAGAAAGTAATTTGAGTAAAGCAAAGTAATATATGTAATGTAAGTAATTTAAATAAAGTAAGTAAAGTAAAGCAAGTAAAGTAATTTAAGTTAAGTAAGTAAAGTAAGTAATGTAAGTAAAGAAAGTAAAGAAAGTAAAGTAATTTGAGTAAAGCAAAGTACTATATGCAATTTAAGTAATTTAAGTACAGTAAGTAAAGTTAGTAAAATAATGTAAGTAAAGTAAAGTACGTAATGTAAGTAAAGTAAGTAATGAAAGTAAAGTTAGTAAAATAAAGTAAGTAATGTAAGTAAATGAAGTAATGTAAGTAAGTTAAGTAATTTGAGTAAAGCAAAGTAATATATGTAATGTAAGTATTTTAAATAAAGTAAGTAAATTAAGTAAAGTAATGTAATGTAAGTAATATCAGTAAGTAAAGTAGTTTAATTCTATATCATCTGTGTATATTTTCAGTGAATTATTAAAGTGTTTCTAAATGGAAGTAACTGTCCAAGTTTGTCTCATAACCTTTATTTGTTCTGTTCTGTATTTTTTTGCCGTTGGACTTTGTGTACATGATATTGATTTGAACCTATCTCAATACCCCAGCAGCTTATGCAGACTGACATATATCAGCGTGAAAACACAGTATTACTAGAAAACAACAAGAAAGTTTTTGTCTCTTTGGTGAAAAACATATCGGTGAAAGACTGCAGAGACTGTCACCAGGATGTGTATTCGCTGTTTCTCTATAAATCACAGTTTTTATTGGAAAGTGCCTTACACTTTCTGACAAAACGCAGCTGTAGAGAGTTGTAAAAGAATCTTCTGTCTTGTTTTGACTTTTTGTCAGCTAAAATTTTAAAAAGAAAAGTGCATTTTTAGCTGACGAAAGGCCTTGGTCGGAGGTTTCAAAGTAAAGAGAAAACTTGTGTAGTATCAAGTAACGATAAAACGGATACAGGACATATTGAAGTATTGGAAATAATTGTTTTTTTTTAATATATCATGCTTCAGTATGTACTTGTACTTGTCTCAGTTTACATAAATAATAGAAACTAAAGCTTCTAATCGCAGTATTCTTAAATTATGGATTGAAATCTGAACAGCAACGAGCCTTATTATAAATTCAATAAATGTCTTCAGTTTCATAATGATTGTGCAAAGAGAAAACACAAGTGACATTAAAGATTAATTTCCATGACGTCAGCAGGGGCGTCGACGGGTTGGGGGGCAAAGGGGTCTGTTGTCCGGGGCCCCAGGGTTTAGGGGGCCCAGAATTAGACCCTCTTCTTATTAATTTACATTAGAGGGGTTCTCAAAATTGTGTCGATAGGCTTGGATATCAGTATCAGTCAAATTTTGAAAATTTTGGCAATATTTGGTGAAGTAAAAGCTAGGTTTTTTTGCACACACATTTTGTTAGCGTGAGGGAAATAACAACAAGATGTTAAATGGAATAAAATACTGTATTTTCCGGGCTATTAGATGCGCTCTTAAGGCTTTAACCCCATCAAAAACGACTGCACGCCCCACAATCCAGAGCGCCCTATACATGAATCTACTCGGGTGTCCCAGCACGACTTCAGTAAACTACAAAGCCGCACCACCCGCAGCGCACGCAAACACACACGGAGCAGACAGCGACCGCACAGCGAAAAACACCCACAGACACACTCATCACTCCACGCCGACGCGGAGGAATGAACCGAAAAAGCGAGTGCAATGTGCCACTTCTAGACACGACTGAACAACCGAGTCACTGCAAACATGCCGACAATCCAGCGATCCCAGACAGCACCTCCCTACACGCCACAACTGAACAAAGCCCAGAGTCACCGTGAACGCCACAAACAAACAAAACCACTCACCCATCACACTGTTGTGTTTCGTTTAAAGTCCGGTGCGGTTTGTTTATGAAAAAAGTTCGTAAACAGACCATTTAATGATTTATAATCCAGAGCACCTAATAGCCCGGAAAATACAGTAAATAATATTTAATTAACAGGGATGTAACATGTAAATTAACAAAACAGACTAAAATATATATACAGAAAATAACCTAAACTAAGAAACAAAACAACAGATTTAACATATCACGAGTTTTGTGCCACAAAAACGGTGGTTAAACTGAGGGACACACACACAAAACTAAAACACAAGTGCCCCAAACTAAACCACATAAACCCACAAAAATTAAATTAAAATTAAAAAAAGGCACAATCAGAACTAAACTACAGAACTAGAGACACATGAACACAAAATGGCAGACTGGACACCAAGGAGGCTGGAGGTGAGGCAGGATTGGCCAGGTGTAGGTGTAGATCAGGCATGTCCAAACTATGGCCTGTGGGCCAAATGCGGCCCTCAAAAAATTTTTTCTTGGCCCTCAGGCTTCCAGGAGAATTGGCCCAAATTACCTTGCATCAATGAAAAATTAACTTTTTATTGGAAGTTTTTTTTTTTTTTTTTTTTTATCTATCCTTGATAAAGCAAATATCTAATATTTAGTGTGTGGTTTTGAGGATCTTAGCATGAATGAAGACGGATGGCTCATTCTAACGTGTTAAACATGCACATATTTAATTTCACCTGTTCAACTTGTTGCCTTCTGGCAGGTGCTTCAGGTCAATTCCAGCTTGGACCAATAGACTCAGGGACAGCTTCTTCCCTAAAGCTGTCCCCATAATGAATGAGAACTGTTAATTTGTTTTATTTATTTTGTTTAATTCTTGCACTTTGATGGAGCAGCTCTGAATTTCATTAAACTATTGTATAATGACAATAAAGGCTTCACTATATTGAGCACCAGTTTACGGCCCTCGATCAGCCTCAGCTTCATCTGTGTTTAGAGATGTGGCCCTTGATGAAATAAGTTTGGATACTCCTGGTGTAGAGGCTCTCACAGCAGGATCCAGAACAGCCAGTAAAATAATTTAAAACACACAAAACTAATTACAACTGAAGGCCTGGGGCTGTAACACAGTTTTTGACAATCACAGTTTTAATCAATTTAACTCTAAATCAGAGCAGAGACTCTGATTAGTTTGATTAATTGTCAGGCCCTAATTGGGAGTGTTTACACAATTGGATTTTATATTCCAAATAAACACATTTAGTTAATTTGTGATCTTTACTATAACTTAACATTAGGGGTGTGCAAAAATATCAAAATATCGATATACTCTAATACTAAATTTGGTGATATTGTATAATTATCCTGAGCTGCTGTATCGGTAAATCAGCAAGAGTACATTTTTTTGCATCTTTTAGCCATTTTATTTGTGACTGCTTGACATTTTTGTTCCTTATTTAGGGGAAAGAAAGTAGTTTATGCATTATTCACTGTTTTGATGATTAAAATAGATGTAATTCTTATTAACTTTGCACAAATACTGGTTCGATAAAAGAGTTATTGTTGCTAAAATGTGTTTGGTTCTTAAAAAAAACAACAATAAATCAACTGCAGTATATGGATTATCACATTGTTTCGTGAGCAATGTATCGAGTATCGTATCGACATTCATACATCATACATTTTTGCTACTTGTAATGTTTTTTTTAATGCTTTATATTGGTATCGATTATTGCAAGAAAGCAGCAAGTCAAACTACAGCGCACCATCCCTCTCCTCGCTTTTACTCACGTCTCGTTTCCTCGTCTCCTTTCCTCTTTCCCCTCTCTGACAGGGAGACAAGAGGGAGATGTTCAACACGGTGAGGGACATGATTTACGACCTGATCGAATGGCGTTCTCAGATCCTCTCCGGAACTCTGCCCCAAGACGAACTGTCCGAACTCAAGCAGAAAGTCACCTCCAAAATCGACTACGGGAACAAGTGAGAAAACTGTCAACTCTGCAGATAATGTAACGTACAGAGCGGTGGGGAAGCGGAGGACGGGGTTTTGAGAAGGACGTTATAGTTATTTAAAGGTTCTATATTTCACAGAATGGTCTCTTGTGAGCTTTTATTATTAATCTGTCCACATTCGTAAAGCTGAAACTGCTCTTTTACACCTTATGATGTCATGTAGTGGTCGTTAACAGCTACTTTTACCTTTAGTTCAGTAGAGATCGGCAATTCCAGGTCTGAAATGATCCAAATGATTCTAGTGAAGGTGCATGGAGTTTAAAAACACACTGGAGCACTTCCTGTATTACCGCATGACATCACAAGGTGGAACTAAGTGTTTCTGTTTAAGAGGAGAAATCAGTATAACAGATCAGAAAATAGAGACAGACCAGTGGTTCCCAACATTTTTTGCGCTACAGACTGGTTTTAGTCCTGGCTTTAGTCCTGGGTTTAGTCCTGGTTTAGTCCTGGTTTTAGTCCTGGTTTAGTCCTGGTTAGTCCTGGTTTTAGTCCTGGGTTTTAGTCCTGGTTTTAGTCCTGGTTTATACCTGGTCAAATTTTGGTTTAATCCTGGTTAAATCCTGTTTTAGTCCTTGTTAAATCCTGGTTTAGTTCTGGTTTTAGTCTTGGTTTAGATCTGGCTTAGACCTGGTTAAATCCTGTTCTAGTCCTGGTTTTAGACCTGGTTAAATCCTGTTCTAGTCCTGGTTTTAGTCCTGGTTTAGACCTGGTTAAATTTTGGTTTAATCCTGGTTAAATCCTGTTTTAGTCCTGGTTTAGACCTGGTTAAATCCTGTTTTAGTCCTGGTTTTAGTCCTGGTTTAGACCTGGTTAAATTGTTGGTTTAGTCCTGGTTAAATCCTGTTTTAGTCCTGTTTAATCCTGTTTAGTCTGGTTTAGTCTGGTTTAGACCTGATTAAATCCTGTTCTAGTCCTGGTTTTAGTCCTGGTTTAGATCTGGCTTAGACCTGGTTAAATCCTGTTTTAGTCCTGGTTTTAGTCCTGGTTTATCTGGCTTTAGACCTGGTTAAATCTGTCTGTTTTAGTCCTGGTTTTAGTCCTGGTTTTAGATCTGGTTAGACCTGGTTAAATCCTGTTTTAGTCCTGGTTTTAGTCCTGGTTTTGATCTGGTCTTAGACCTGGTTAAATCCTGTTTTAGTCCTGGTTTTAGTCCTGGTTTAGATCTGGCTTAGACCTGGTTAAATCCTGTTTTAGTCCTGGTTTTAGTCCTGGTTTAGATCTGGCTTAGACCTGGTTAAATCCTGTTTTAGTCCTGGTTTTAGACCTGCTTTAGTCCTGGTTTAGACCTGTTTAAATCCTGGTTTAGTCCTGGTTTAGACCTGTTTAAATCCTGGTTTAGTCCTGGTTTTAGACCTGGTTTAGACTTGGTAGAGACTTGGTAGAGACCTGGTTGAGACCTGTTTTTAGTTCTGGTTTTAGTTCTGGTTTTAGTTCTGGTTTAGAGACGTGGTCCATGTGGCGTTCGGGCATAACCCTTTAATTCTGTCACACTCTAACACTTTTATGTTTATGTACTGTATTTTCCTCAGTACTTGGTCATAGTTGGATTAGGCGAGCGCTGCCAGTCAACGCAATGCAAAAACACCTGTGATCCTTTAACTTTGCACAAAATGGTGGAAGAATTCATCATCGGTGTAATCTGGTACAGTCTATCACAAAAAAACCCTGTGATGTGTCTGCAATAGAGCTTGAAATCAGGTGAAAATGAAAAAATCGTGAATCCATTCTGCTGTGATGAAATTTCAACCTGTAGCCGAGCAGGCAGAGAAACGATTTTCAGACTTTATGGCCAAGTACCTTCCAACATCACAATTTCTTCTATGTTGGCTGCTCTTCGAAAGAAAAATTAGAACAAAAGAAACGGCGAGGATTGAATGAAATCTGGGAGCGAAAAGCTAATACTAGTGTAGTGGGAAAAAAAAGCTTAAAGGGGCAATATTACTCTGTTTTCTGAGCGATGTTTAATGCTGTTTCCTCATCTCAAACATTACTCAAACATGTGAAACTAAACAAAACACAACTCCAGGTGTGTTTTTGTAGAGGAAACAGCATTATAACATGTCTAAAACCTCACAAGAGTCAGTTTACAATAATATAGGACCTTTTAACTAGACGCAAATAAGTCAAATATAGTAAATTTTATACTTAGATAGAAAGGATTTCAACATTAACACTAGACTAAATGTGCCACTTATGTAAAGATGAAGTCATTGTGAAGTGATGAAGCTACCGTATTTTTCGGACTATAAGGCGCATTGGATTATAAGACGCAGTATCAATAACGTTGAATTCTCTCGTCTATTTTCATGCATAAGTCACACTGGATTATAAGGAGCATTAAGCAAAACAAATGGACGACACTTGAGACTGAGGCATCCATGATCCATTGACATCGTGGCGTAATTCGCCCGGTGTTGCCTCCCTGTCTTGATGAATGTGCATTATGAAAGTGAATGTGGGTGAATAATTTAAGTTTTTTTTTTTTTATTTCCTATGAGTAGAACTCAAATATACATTGAGTAATAATGTGTTTAATGCAGCTTTGTGCACATTTGTTTACATTTTACAGAAATGAAACTTAAAACCACATGACTAATTTCCGTAAACTATAAGCGCTGAAAAAAACAGCTTGCTCCTTGTGCGCTGATGCGGTTCAGCTTCTGTCAGATTAAAGGGTATGACTCCGCGGGACTTCTGACTACAGTAGCTGTAGTGCTCCGACAATCCATCAAGTGGTGCAGCTTCGTAACTTACCGAAGTCGTACTAAAACATTTTGACAGTTTTTGGAGCACTGTGTACCACAATACACAGTGGTTCCAGGTCAGTAAGCACAACCAGAATTAATACATAAGGCACGCTGGATTACAAGGCGCACTGTCGATCTTTTTGTGAAAATTAAAGAATTTTATGTGCACCTTATAGTCCAAAAAATACGGTAATTTGTTATTATATATTTAAACATCCATTTTCTTGATTATCCATCCATCTATTTTCTTGTTTTATCTGGGGCTGGAACACAGGGGCAGCAGACTAAACAGGGACTCCCAGACTTCCTTCACCCCAGACATGCTTCTTGATTTAATCATAATTTAATCTGGTTTTGGTTGCCATTTTTTATTAATATAACATAGTTGATTTGACTGATAAAGAGGAGGGACGGTGAATATATGGTACAGGTACTGGAATATGAAAGAGGAGATTTATGGATGCTGTTGTTAATGTCTGACTATGAGAAGATTAAATTTCCATTGTATAAATTGCGTGCTCAAGTTGACAACATCCTTCACTTTATTTGATTTGGCAGTTAATTGTTTTCATTTTCTCTCTGCAGATATCTCGGTCTAGACTTGGTGGTCCGAGATAAAGACGGGAACATTTTAGACCCCGATCTCACCAGCACCATCAGCCTGTTCAGAGCCCACGAAGCCGCCTCCAAACAGATCGAAGACCGGATACAAGAGGAGAAGGTGACGTGTTTATTTAAAGCTACAGTCTGTAATTAGACTGGACCGACCCACCCTTTTTGTCTTCTCTAAATGACCGCTGTCTGATAGTGACGGGGGAGGGGGAAGACTTTTAATATCTGCCATCACACTGGTAAAAAAAAGAAAAAAATCTAAACAAAACTTGGTGTGATGGTGGGTTTAAAGATCTTATATTGCGCAGAATAGTTCTGTCACTCTGTTCCACCTTGTGATGTGATGAGTAGTGGTAGTTTTCAGTAGAAATTGTCAATCCCAGGGCTGAACTCATCCAAATGAATCTGTGTATCATTCGTTCATTCGTTTTTCAATATAAAACCAAAATTAAGAGAATGAAAAAAAAAAATATTTTCTTCATTATTTCTCTCCAAAACCAAAATTAAAAAATGGATAACGATTTGTTTTTTTCAGTTTTCGATTTTGTGTTTAAATGAAAAATGGAAAAAAACGAATAACCGCCGTTTCCCGTTTACGTGACTTCTGTGACTGCGATGCCGGACTTTTGCACCACGTACGGACTGAACCAGGACTGATCCAGGACCAGGACCAGACGGGGACCAGAGCGGGACTGAGACCGAGACCAGGCCGGGACCAGACCGGGGCCAGACCGGAGGCTCAGAGCCCATGGCAGGGCCGAAGCTCGAAGCTGAGGCTCAGACCCTGCGGAGGCTCGGAGTCAAAACTCGGATCGGTCTAGTCCCGGTCTGATCCCGGCCTGGTCCTGGTCTGGTCTTGGACTCAGTCCCACACTGGTCCTGGTCTCAGTCCTGATCTCTGTCTCTGTCTGGTCCCGGTATGGTCTCGATCTCAGTCCCGCTCTGGTCCCGGTCTGGTCTCAGTCTCGGTCTGGTCCCAGTCTGGTCCCGATCTCAGTCCCGGTCTTGTTCCGGTCTGGTTCAGTCCGTATGCAGTGCAAAAGTCCGGCATCGCAGTCACGGGAGTCACGTAAACGGGAATCGGCCGTTATCTGTTTTTTTCCATTTTTCATTTAAATAAAAAATTGAAAACTGAAACAACAAATCATTATCTTTTTTTTTTTCATTTTGATTTTGGAGACAAATAACGAAGAAAATAGTTGTTTTTTCATTTTCTTATTTTTGCTTTTATATTGAAAAACGAACGACACACGGATTCAAACGATTCTAGTGAAGCTGTTTTACCGCATGACATCACAAGGTGGAACTGAGTGTTTTCACTTTGAGACAAGAACTCAGCCTGAATACGCAGGATCACACGGCGCGCTTTTTAAGTCAGTAAAAATCAGGTACATGGCTTTTAACGACCTGCTTATCTTGACCGTTCACATCCAATTAATTTTTCAACGCTTCCATAAACTGCCACTTTATATATTCTTTGGATCTTGGCCAGTTTTCCTTGCATTTCAGTTACCGTCGTCCCTCTCACCTTTGCGTCGCTCAGCCCGGTGTCGCAGAGGCCCCGGAGCTAAGTAGCCGGCAGTTACGTGGTCTCATCTTCTTTGACCTTTTCCATCCTAAAGTCTCTGTTGCATATGCATGACCAATAAAGAGGTCCAGCCACCCTGATAAATATTAATGTTTTTTAGCTCCCTGCATTTTCAAAGACCGACCCGTGAATCGCCAACTCAGGTGAACGCGTTTAAAAGAAGTTCGGACGTAAAGGTGGCGTTTTATTTCTGTACAAAAAAAGTACAAAGAACCAACTTTATGGGAATTGTTAAAGATCACACCGTGGGAGTAATATAAGTCACTCGCCCGGATATTAGCGGTAACCTTTGAGTTTTGTGCTGATCTAGTTTCTCTTACGTTCTGCAGAAGTCAAGCTGGGAAAATTTAAGCTTGTTAATTTAGAAAAGTTCTTCATACTTGCGCCCACGTGTCGTTAAAACGCACTGTATGGGCAGTGTTGGGAAGGTTACTTTTAAAATATATTCCCCTACAGATTACAGATCGCATACCCCAAAATGTAGTTTGTAACGTAATCCTCTAAATTATTTAAAGTGAGTAACGTAATCTGAATACTTTGGATGACTTGGTTTTGTGTAGAGTAACAAAGACCAGGATATCTTCACATAAGAAGTTTTGTTTGCTAAAAGAAAATAAAAAAGCCCAGACTTTACTTAACCGTATTAAAAATAGACCTGGTTTTAGCCCCAGTTTAGGTCTAGTTTAGACCTGGTTTAGACCTGGTTTTAATCCTGGTTTAGTCCTGGTGTAGACCTGGTTTAGATCTAGTTTAGGCCTGGTTTTAGTCCTGGATTACACCTGGGTTCAGTCCTGGTTCAGTCCTGGTTTAGGCCTGGTTTTAGTGCTGGTTTAGACCTGGTTTTAGCCCTGTTTTAGACCTGGTTTTAATCCCGGTTTAGTCCTGGTTTAGACCTGGTTTAGATCTATTTTAGACCTGGTTTAGATCTAGTTTAGACCTGGTTTTAGTAATAGGTTAGACCTGGTTTTAACCCTGGTTTAGACCTGGTTTTAATCCTGGTTTAGACCTGGTTTTAATCCTGGTTTAGTCCTGGTTTAGACTTGCTTTAGACCTGGTTTAGATCTAGTTTAGGCCTGGTTTTAGTCCTGGTTTAGACCTGGGTTCAGTCCTGGTTTAATCCTGGTTTAGTCCTGGTTTAGACCTGGTTTAGTGTCCGGCAATGAGTAGAATTACAAAAAAAAAAAAGGGATATAGCCCAAAATGTGAAAACAGGAAAATACTGCCATGTAATCCATTTATTTCAACAAAGTAACTGTAATCCAATTACCACTCACTGAAACAGTAACTGTAACTGAATACAGTTACTCATAATTTGTACTCTGATTACGTAACTGTTACTGTTACTCCCCAAGACTGTGTATAGGTATTGCCCTTTAGGCGACGTTTATATGATAACGATCTGAACAGAAGACGCAAAAGTGGCGTCGCGTCTTCACTTTTTATTCCGTGTTTAGACGAGTGTTTTCGTGAAGAAATCTGCGTGTGTGTGGAATTGGATTGTGCATGCATGCCAGGTGGTTAAGTGGTGGCACTAGGTCAGGGGTGTCAAACTCAAATTCACAGAGGGACAAAATTAAAAACTGGGACTAAATTGTGAGCCAAACAAAATATTTATTGAAAAGTTTCAACAACATCTGCATGTTTTCTCTTCTTGCGAGATACGTAATGTTAAAATTTGTCTTATTAAAATGAATGTTTAATAATAGTTTTGCTTAAACATTGAATCTAGAGCAAGCAGAATATAAAATAATAACACAATTTTAAAATAAATAATGTCTCTATACTCTATCTGTAGCCGGCGCACCATCTCTAATACATATTTGATATTATTTTGTGGGCCACATATAGTTATATCGTGGTCCAAATTTGGCTCCCGTGCCTGAGTTTGACATGTCTGTACATCTAGGTGGTGATATATGTGATGTAAACGTGTACACGACGTGAGCAGATCTGACCAGAGTTTTGAGTCTTGGGCAGTGTAGACATAAACGCTACAGCGGAGCGTGTTCAACTTTTTCACTCTGGAGGGTGGTTTCAGATTTTTGCCGTTTTAAGCCCCAAAAACGGCGTCACCGTCTAAACGAAAGGCACTTCCGATAAAATATTTTGTCATCCAATGAGGTTCATTTGGTCTTCTGATAATTTATGTTATTAGGTTCTTTTTACAGACCAAGAGTTTGTTTTCATGACAGTTTCGACTGCTCACTAGCGGTCTTCCTCAGAGTGGTCAGGTGATGTTGCTGAGACGTGTTCGGTCAGCTGATTTAAACAGGTTTTGGAGCTGACTGGACACGTTACAGCAACATCACGTGACCACTCTGAGGAAGACCACTAGTGAGCAGTCGAAACTCAGGTATAAAAACAAACTCTTGGTCTGAAAAAAGAACCTAATAACATAAAATATTTTGTCATTTTTACCCACAAACGTTCTCGTGTAAACAAGCCCTTAGTGATAAAGTTGCAGGTTCAAAATGCAAACTGAATGACGATGTCCTGACGATGTGTTTTTGTGGGTTCACATTTGTCCGTGGTTAGATTCTTATTTAGAGTCTATTTCTGGGTTTAGTCCAAGTTGGGGCTGTGAGTAATTTTAACCAATATAGTTGATCCTCTGTCAGTAAAAGTATGTTATTTGGAGCAGAGTTCAGAAGAAGAAGAATAAATTTGTTTATTTTTTGTGATAAACGACAGTGAGTAAAGCTCTATATTGCTTATGTTCAGGGAGTTTAGATCGAAAACTAATTTATTTTCTAATCCAATTGAATTGAAAATCTTGACTGATCAATATGAGGGGATTTTAAATCTTTTATCTCTGTCTCTCTCTTCTCCTCTCTCTTGTCTCTGTCTACAGTCTCAGAAGCAGAATATTGACCTGAGCAGACAGGCCAAGTTCGCGTCCACACCTGCTTTCGCGCTCTTCGTGACTCTGAAGAATGTGGTGTGCAAGATCGGGGAAGACGCCGAGGTGCTCATGTCCCTGTACGACCCCGTGGAGTCCAAGTTTATCAGGTATCTCCAGGAAACGGAAAAGCCCCCGAGTGGTGCTTTAAACTTCTATTGTCTCAGAACATGCTGCTCTCAGAATTTATTTCTCACAGTAGATTACAGCAAGTATATAATAACCTGCACTTATCTGTTTTACACAATAGTTGAAATGTCTATGTAACTGTTTTGGTGGGAAAGCTGCTACCTGCTTGTCTCCATGTTAGTGTTTTGCCTGGAATGTTCCACAGTATGGCATTAAACTCACTACAATAGTATCTTACCACCTCCAAGTGTGGAATGAATCAATGAATAATGCTCTGTATGCAAGGATTCGGTAGTTAATTATTTAATTATAATCCAACTCACCTTCCTTCTTCCAGTGAGAACTACCTGGTGAAATGGTCCAGCTCTGGTTTGGTGAAGGACATCGACCAACTCCACAACCTCCGCTCTGTTTTTACGGTGAGAGCAGGATTTTACCTTTTTTGGCTGATGGTTTATCTTAGTACCATTTTAACTTTTCATGCAGTAAAATCTGTCAAAAAACATGTTTAAATGTGACTTCATGAACATTCAAACATGCACTACATCAAAGTTTCAATGAAGTAAAGTTACTCGCAACTTGAAACAGCAGATAAAATTATATATTTATCTTTCTGGAATTGTTCTCAAGCTATTATGCAATCATCTGTTATTAGGTATTAGTTTTCATGACAGTTTCGACCGCTCACTCGTGGTCTTCTTCAGAGTGGTCACGTGATGTTGCTGTGACGTGTCCGGTCAGCAGATTTAAACAGGTTTTGGCGCTGTCTTCCTACCGGTGGAGGCAGGACGACAGCGCCATCCGCAGCGAAGAAACAGCGAAGGCGTGCACACGAGCAACAAAACACAAAACAGAACAGGAACAACTCAAATCGGCCAGTTCTGAACAATGTAAAAGAGAGAAGCGCGTTATGGACTGGGACGGAGCAAACACCACTGGGACAGAGGAAAACAAACATCGCCGCTGGATTAAAGAGGCAATCGAAATATGGAAACGTGCCCACAGGATTATAAACCAGGACGAGGGGGCTTTTTTACTCTCACACACCTGGGATACTGTCCTGAGGAAGTCGAACTGCAGATGGCGCTGTCGTCCTGCCTGCATCAGTAGGAAGACGGCGACAAAACCTGTTTAAATCAGCTGACCGGACATGTCAAAGCAACATCACGTGACCACTCTGAGGAAGACCGTTAGAGAGCGGTCGAAACTGTCATGAAAACAAACTCTTGACGGCCGTTCACACCAAAGCGTCAAAAAACGCCTTGACGCCTCTGTTTGGACGCCTTTACATTTGAGTTTAGACGCCCCCGACGCGCATCTTTGACGCCGTGGACGAACGGGAGAAAAATACTTGACGCGCATCCGTTGCCCTGGAAACAAGAGCTCGGTCCCGGTCTTTTCCCGAAACAATGTCAGACCAGACTGATAGAGACTGTGTTTAATGTTTTTATGACAAAACATCAGCGGAGGAGATCGGGTCGACGACTGGGGCGCCACGCTGACACCGGAGGACGCGCCGCAAAAACGCAGGACGCTCTAGACCCGCGTCCACATAGACTTTACATAGAAACTCGACGCTTTGGTGTGAACACCCCTTTAGTCTGTAAAAAGAACCTAATATAAAATATCGGATCTCATTGGACTATTATACAATCAGAAAGCAGATGGAGCTCTTTGCTTTGGGTTGCCAGATTCTTCAGCGAAAACCAACTCGAGTGTGTGTCCTCGAAGAATGAATAATTACATCCCTGATTAAATCCCTGATCTATGTTATAATGTTGTTTCCTCATCACAAAGTGGAACATAGCGTATGGAGCTTTGGAGATGTAGACAGAATAATAATAAAGTGTTACTCAAACATGTGTGAACGAAACAAAACACAACTCCAGGTTTGTTTTTGAGGAGGTAACAACATTATAACATGACTTAAAGCTCACAAGAGTCAATTTTGTGTAATGTAGGACCTTCAAATCACAATTGCAGTATTTAAATCAGGATGCCTACATATTTCTGAGACCTGAACCAAATGTAATCTAGTCCTAAACCTGGCCCACAATGCACCACAGTTTGAGAAGCACTGGCCTATTGTTTACTCAGCCATGTTGGGATTCATGTGGGAGTGTGTTTGCAGAAGCACTATTTGTTAGCCCCTCTCAGCTGTATATATTTACTGAGCCAGTCACCTCTGTCTAATGAAAACCCAAGGGCACGGGGGTCATCTCTCACCCTCCGAAGGGGACCACTCGGCCGGGCACGGACCACGAACACCCACGGGAAATGGATTTGTAGACCCCGTCGCCAACTCCGCACAGGCAATTTATCCTGACTGGCTTGTCCTTAATACAGTTTTCTGCCTTAAAAGGTATTGGGATTTCACTGTTATAGTGGCTCCTTGGGTAAGTCGTATAGGAGAGTCAGGTGTATTTTCACTAACTTGGAAAATCAAAGTGAAAGTGGAGCGTTTGGGATGGATCAGTGTGTCGTTGATACTTCGCAGCTGACGTCAGTAGGATTCTCTTACTGTAGGCACTGCTCTGTCTGAAGCTCTGTTAGACTTTCATCTGAACGGACATAACTGCACATAACTTTTCAACCATAAAACATAGAAACTTACCTTTTTTTATCTTGGAAAGTTGACAGTTGACATATTGCGAGCATATTTCCCGCATTATCCTACGTCACACAAACGCTGCATGACGACGTAGGGAAAATGAGTGTCCAGTTGGAACCTTGTTTCTGCCAAACACATGCGCTCCATCTACCGTATTTTCTGCACTATTAGGCGCTCTGGATTATAAGACGCACTGTCATTAAATGGTCTATTTTCGTACTTTTTTCACAAATAAACCGCACCGGACTTTAAACGAAACACAACAGTTGGATGGGTCAGTGGGACTTTGTTTGTGGCGTTCACGGTGACTCTGGGCTTTGTTCAGTTGTGGCGTGTAGGGAGGGTGCTGTCTGGGACCGCTGGATTGTCGGCGTGTTCGCAGTGACTCAGTTGTTCAGTCGTGTCTAGAAGTGGCACATTGCACTCGCTTTTTCGGTTCGTTCCTCCGTTCCGTTCCTCGTCGGCGTGGAGTGATGAGTGTGTCTGTGGGTGTTTTTCGCTGTGCGGTCGCTGTCTGCTCCGTGTGTGTTTGCGTGTTCTGCGGGTGGTGCGGCTTTGTAGTTTACTGAAGTCGTACTGAGACACCCAAGTGGATTCGTGTATAGGAGGCTCTGGATTGTGGGGCACGCAGTCATATTTTGATGGATGGGGTTAGAGGTTTAAGAGCGCGGCTAATAGCCCGGAAAATACGGTATTTTGATTGGCCAAACTTTGCCAAAGAGTGTAGTGAGTCAAAATAGTCTGTGTTCATAAAAATTGAAAAAGCAGGTCTAAGTGCAGTTATTTCTCAAATAAATGGCAAATTATGCATCTTGGTCTGCGTAATTGCACATCCCTCGCTATTTTTATTTGAAAGGTTTATTTCACTCAAAATGTACAAATCCAAATGTAATAAACACCATGGAAATTCAGGAAGTGATGTGGCTCTGTGCTCTGGATCTGACAGGAGCTGTTTCCAGACTGGCACCAGGAAAGTAAAAGGGGCATTGCATCTAAAAAAAAAAAAAAAAAAAATGTCCAAAAGGTGTTTATACATGTTTGCTTTGTGTTTTGTACTGAAAAAAATGATGTATAAGATTTCATTAAGACCTTATACCTAATACCTTATTCTTTCTGCTGTTGTCCCATATAAATTCTCTAAAAAAATCTCAGTGTCAAATATCAGTGAACCATGCATGTCACTGATTTGTAAAATATTCGAGAAGTGTGTATTCTGGATACCAGCAAAGTACAATATATCTCTACCAATATTCTGTGCTTGTCCAATTACAATTTAATTTGGGAGCTTCACTACAACTTTTCTTGAATTTGAGAGTCTTAAAATCTGCAAATATTGTTCATCAGTCAGAGCAAATAAGTCCTTAACCACAACTAAAATGAACTTTCTGGGTGAAACAAAAGACAAAGAAACCTCTCTATTACTTTATTAATACAACAATTATTATTTTTTTCTTTCTGCAGGATTTGGGCAGTGAAGATTTGAAGAGGGAGAAAATCAGTTTTGTGTGTCAGATCGTCAGAGTGGGACGAATGGAGTTACGAGACAACAACACCAAGAAGCTGACGTCGGGCCTGAGGAGACCCTTCGGAGTGGCAGGTAAACAGTTGTTCTTTTACTTCATAAGGCACACTTAAAAAATCGACAGTGCACTTTATAATCCCGTTGCGTCTTATGTATTAATTCTGGTTGTGCTTACTGACCTCAGACGGATTTTATGTGGTAAACGGCGCTCAAAAATCTGTCAAAATGTTACGACTTTGGTAAACTACGAAGCCGCAACGCAAAACAGTCTATTCCTATGACCTGAATATTTATAATCTCTGAAAAGTTTCACATGAACCACCTCCAACACAACAGAAGCACGAAACAGACTCACCATCAGCAGAACACCCCTCTGTCACAGAAAGAATCTGCCCAAAACATGCTGCATAGGTCTTCCAGGAAGAACAGTTGATAGCCAAGGTCAGTTACATACAATCAGTCAATGAATCTGCCCAGAGACGACAGGTGGAAAATAGCACTGATGCTACAACCTGGTACAAGCATCTCTCCTGTTAAGGTTAATGTCAAAATTGTTTGCGCTGTCCCTGTCTCATTAAATAATATAAAGAAACAAACGAATAAATAAATAAACGCTCATATTCCACTGAGTCGTGTCCTTTAGTCCGACAGAAGCTGAACCGCCTCAGCGCACAAGGAGCGAGTTGTTTTTTCAGCGTTTACAGTTTATGCAAATTAGTCATGTGGTTTTCAGTTTTGTTTCTGTAAAATGTAAACAAATGTGCGCAAAGCTGCTCTAAACACATTATTGCTCAATGTATATTTGTGTCCTCGTTGGAAATAAAAAAAACAAACTTAAATTCTCCACCCACATTCACATTAATAATACACATTCACCAAAACAGGGAATTACAAGCGAATTACGTCACGATCTGCCGATGGATCGTGGACGCCTGGACTAAAGGATCAGTCTCAAGTGTCGTCCGTTTGTTTCGCTTAATGTGCTTTATAATCCGGTCCACTTTATGTATGAAAATAGATGAGAGAATTCAACATTATTGATATTGCGTCTTATGATCCAGTGCGCCTTATAGTCCAAAAAATACGGTAACTAAAGTGCAGACACCTGAAAACTGTACTTCAGTATTGTACTTTTGCGTTTGCACTTCGTTACCTTCCAACTCTGAGTAAGGAGTGAATAAATTACATACTGAAAAGGTCTGTGGGTATTCTAAAATGTGCTATATAAAAGGAACAATTATTCTTTTTTTTCCTTTTGTTCAGCTCTACTTTTCTCTCAGAAAACTTTCAACTTTAAACCTTCTTCCCCAGACTTGAGAAATCCCCTGTGCTCTGCTTTGTACAGTTCACAGCAAGTTTGGGCCAAGTGTCTGGGTGAATAACAACATTTGGCTGGAACAAAGAAATTTCAAACCAAAGTGTTGAGAAGAAATTAGCTCGGTTTATCTATTTCTGGACATTTCCCAGGCATTTTTTAATAATTACTTTGACATTTTACCCCCCAAAAACTTCACAATCTCATCTTTTTCCTCCATTAATTTGGGTAAATGACTAAACTGAATTATTCTCATATTTCTACAGACATCATTATCACAATATCTGCATAAATTTGACTTGGAGAAGCGTAAAATTTGAAAAGTTTGGTTGTTTCTCGTTGTAGGTTTTAAATAATGGTGTGGTTTGGAAGTGCAGCTTGTCAGGATCAGCGCAACAAAGGATTTCAGATCGTTATTTGGAACAAGAGTCACAGGAACATGGCAGTGAAGGAGACATTTGTAAAGAGTTGGAGGCGTTGTTGATTTTTGTTGATGTAGTGCGTGTAAACCAAAACCAAAATGACAAAATTATGCAGCTAAGTTACAGATTTACTGTATTGAGGGAAACTGCGTGGAAGTGGCAAGTTACCTGTGTTATTCCATGGAAATAGAAGTTTAAAACCATACTTCGGAACATTCTCCACGGGAATAGATAAATAAGGAGTATTAAAACCAAAGGAAGATCATTTCCATGGAATCACAAAGGTGTAAGTCCTCTTCCAGGCCAAATAACAGTCAGGTTTGTGGAGATATAAGCTCGTTCAGAATAGTCTTGTTGTACTCGAGACTGGCCTCAAGACCATTTTTTTTACAGTCTTGGTCTCGTCTCGGACTCGACCGCGTTTGGACTTGGTCTTGTCTCAGTCTTGAAGGCGCTTGGGCTTGGTCTTGAAGGCGCTTGGACTCAGTCTTGTCTCAGTCTTGAAGGCGCTTGGACTTGGTCTTGTCTCGGTCTTGAAGGAGCTTGGACTCGGTCTTGTCTCGGTCTTAAAGGCGCTTGGACTCATCTTGTCTCGGTCTTAAAGGCGCTTGGACTCGGTCTTGTCTTGGTCTTGAAGCCGCTTGGACTCGGTCTTGTCTTGGTCTTGAAGCCGCTTGGACTCGGTCTTGTCTTGGTCTTGAAGCCGCTTGGACTCGGTCTTGTCTTGGTCTTGAAGCCGCTTGGACTCGGTCTTGTCTTGGTCTTAAAGGCGCTTGGACTCGGTCTTGTCTCGGTCTTAAAGGCGCTTGGACTCGGTCTTGTCTTGGTCTTGAAGCCGCTTGGACTCGGTCTTGTCTTGGTCTTGAAGGCGCTTGGACTCGGTCTTGTCTTGGTCTTGAAGGTGCTTGGACTCGGTCTTGTCTTGGTCTTGAAGCCGCTTGGACTCGGTCTTGTCTTGGCCTTGAAGCCACTTGGACTCGGTCTTGTCTTGGTCTTGAGGTCTGAAATTTCATTCTTGTGATAAAATGGAGATAGATTTATAAAAACATTGATATATATTTGCCAAAATAACTATAAAATACAAATAAATGTCGAAAACTAGAAAGATGGTCTCAATTTGTTCTCGATGGTCATGGTCTCGGTCTTGTCTCAGTTTAGACTCTCATAGGTCTCGGTCTTGGTCTTGTCCTAGTCTCGGGACCCTGTGGCCTTGGACAGGTATTTGTCTCAGTTAGTGCGGTCTTGACTACAGCACTAGCTCAGAGTAAGGACACATGTTTTTTCAGTGGAATAAACATCCAAAATGAGTAAAAAGTTTCACACTGTGGCTTTTCTGGTGAGGGATTTGTCCGTAGTGCTGTTTGGATTGTCCCACATTATGTCATTAAACTTGTCTGTCTTACATTTATTAAATTCAGTTAAGTGTTTTTATTTCTCTAAAAATGCCTGGAAATTTTTTTTAGACTTTTTATTCAATCATGTAGATAATTATTATGCCAAATGTCAACAGATTTTAATCACATTTTGTTGTTTGTTTTCTCAGTAATGGACGTGACCGACATAATAACGGGAAAAATGGACGATGAAGACAAGCAGCACTTTATTCCATTCCAACCGTAAGTGAATTGCTCAAAGGCACACCGACAACACTACAGTTACAACACTAGACTATGCCATTTTAGTATAGCATTTTTTTTAAATAATTTGTATTTTTAATGGTATATGCGATCGTTCTCTCCCAACTTTTCTGTTCTCGAGTGGTAAATTAGTGTCCATTATTTTATCTTCTCTTCACTTGTACCTTCTTTCTTTTCCTCTAAAAGTTCTAAAGTCCCTGACACCTGATTAGCAGTGGTTTAAAGACAGTAACTGCCCCGACTATTCCCCGTCGACTCGAGTTAAAACAGTCTCATTAAGTGGAGCCACAGTGTCGACCGGAGCGTGCAAAGGCAGAGTCACCTTTTTACATAACACCGTCTAATGCCTAATTGGAAATGCCAAAGAATCGGGCTGTTTAATCCGACTATCACTTCGCAACTTCATCTCCAAAGTGTAGACTGTATATATAAGTGGACATTCTAACTCGCTAACAGAGGAACTGAGCATGGGGGCGCTTCCGGCTCCATCGATTGTGGCTCCAGTTTCTTTACATTGAAAAATTATCATCCCTTTCTTGTAATTACTGCTGAGAACTTTGTAATTTCGGTCTTAAAATGTTCATGTTAACCTGCTCTACATGATCCTGGTGTTTTTATTTAGCTATTTTGTAAATATATTCCTATTCCTAATACTGAACTCTGGTCCAAATTCGCTCCTGTAACGGCAAGCCTCAGTGAGCTTCATTTGACTGGAGCCGAACACTATGGGTGACGTCACGATCCACTTCTTTATACAGTCTATAAGTAAAAATCATTGCAGTTCAGTCAAGATCAAGAAGAATGGTACAATAGTGAGTTATTTATGAGTCCGTGTACTATTCGTTCTTTTGAATTTCAATTAACAACGAAAAAGAAAAATGTTTGTTATTAAATTTTTCTGTTTTAGTGTCAAAAAAGAAAAAAAAACCCAACAGATTTCAGCCTCTATTTCCAATATTTAATTAAAAGTTTATTTCAGATAACACTAATCAAAAAACTGTCTCTGTGCCTTTTTTAAATTTTGATATTTTTATTCTCTCTGATTTATTTGCCCGGAAGTTCAGCTGCTAGAAGGACTTACCTGAAAAATTGTTGCAATTTTGTGGAAAAACAAGTCCTCTTCTTTTATAGCGATACATTTACTTTCAAGTCTTTAGAACAGGCATGTCCAAACTATGGCCCGTGGGCCAAATGCAGCCCTCTGACAAATTTTTTCTTGGCCCTCAGGCTTCCAGGAGAATTGGCCCAACAAAACATGCACTTATTTCAATTATTCACTGTACTGAGCACCAGTCTACAGCCCTCGATCAGCCTCTCTTCATCTGTGTTTAGATATGTGACCCTTAGTGAAAAAAGTTTGGACACCCCTGCTTTAGAAAGTCATTGTTGAACTTCATGACAAGAAAAAGGTAGCAGAAATAAACTTCGTTCACTTGACACCACAGAACTATAATAAAAATGACTTTTTATTATTTTATTATAGATCCCTGGTTGACACTGCAGCAGAACTTCTGGGGCAAATAAACCAAAGAGAATAAAATATCAAAATTAAAATGGGCACCGAGACAGTTTTTGATTAGTGTTATTTGAAATAAGCTTTAAATTAAATATTGGAAACAGAGGTCAAAATCTGTTTTTTGCTTTTTTGTTTGACACTAAAGCAGAATAATCAAATGACAAACTGTTTTCTCATTTTATTGTTTTTCGTTCTTAATTGAAATTCAAAAGAACGAATGGAACATGGACTGATTACGCTTAACTGTTTGTGGATTCTCAAATTATATTAAAATTGATATTCTAAATAATAAATAATGTTGTTAAACTTATGTCAGTTCTAGCAAAAGCTTCAAAACACTATAAATAATATGTTATACAATATTTGTCCAGAGCTGACGCCTTATTTATTGTCTTTATTTTCAATTTTTAGATGTCAAAGCATTATTGGTTTATCATTGGTCAAAATACACATGAATCTAGAGAAGTGAAAACCATATTAACTGTTAAACTTGAATTTTTAACCTTTGAAAAATGTGTTCATTCATGATTTTGTTTATTTATTTGTTTGTTGCTAAATATTATATCATATATTTCAATAGTAATTTTACTTTAACTCTTAGTTCACATTGTCTTTTACAAGTATTAGATTCCAAACATGTTGTTAGTTAAAGGTTGTATGGAGGATTTTTTTTTGTTTCAAACTGTCAGTCAAAGATTAAAATACCATTACAGAGACGCAGCAGCTTTGTAATTATGATGACCAAAAAAAAAAAAGGACAAAAATCTATCAACTGTGGACGTGTTGAGGCCAGATAAACATCAGCCAATAGAAAACGAGGCTCCCTCATTTTCTATTGGCTGTTAGGTTGTCAGTCAAACTCCCTAGTATAACTGATTCGTCGGAGCGCGGGGATTACGTGGTTTACGCAGCGGTTCTTAGAGGCTTTTTCGAACTGTCGCTTCCTCGCATTTCGCACAAAGTTTGTCGCGACGGCGGACGAGAATCCACGACCGGTTCGCCACAAAGAAAGTCCGTTTTTGAGGTCGCTGAAAGAAGAAGAGAAGGGGAAAAGGAGCAAAGCCAAACTGAGGTGATTCTTGGAGACCTCGTCCAGCGATGGCGCGACCGAAGCAGACGAAGCGTCTAAAAACTGACGCGTCGGTCGGTGAATTACTTCTAGACAGGAAACTTCAACAGTAATTCTGAACGCGCACAAGGACTGTCGCTGTATTTCTCCTCCCTTAAAAAAATCCTCTATACAACCTTTAAGTTATGAAATTGCATGTATTTTGTTCAAAGTCTGTGTGGTTGTTTTGCCTGTTGAAGATCACACTCCCCATCATTGCATCATTTCATTTCATTCATTTGTAGTAGCATCAAAATCACTATTAACCACTGGTCACTTCACATTAAAGATGCACTGTGTAACTTTTCTGGTGGAGGGTCTGCCAGCTGTTTGTCTGCATGGAGATGTTTAAAGGTACAGTCTGGAATTTTGGACATAGGACGTCACTTCCTTGTGAACCAGAGTGTTGGAGACGTGTGGAGACACTTTTTAAAAAATTCCATCCAGTCCTTGTATTTGCAGAGGTCACTGGTGCTAGACTAGTGCATGTCAATGGCCATAGTTATCCTGCCACTAAAAACAGTCTTACCCACTCCACAAAACACCCGAAACAAAACAATTATTACACCAGACTGTTGATGTAAATGTCTGTGTTGATAGAATAATTTTAGAAGTAAAAACAGCCTTCTATTTGAAGGATTTATGTCTGAGCAGCAGCAGCGAGTTGTACTTCCAGATAGAAAGCTCGGCAGCGGCGGACTGATATATGAGAAAATAGTCCCTCAACATGTGACAATTCATGCGATGCAAGGTTAGTTTTATTTCAACCATTATCAACACAGACATTCACATCGACAGTCTGGTGTAATAATAGATTTTCTTCGGGTGTTTTGTGGAGTGGGTGAGACTGTTTTTAGTGGCAGGATAAATATGACCATTGACATGCACTAGTCCAGCACCAGTGACCTCTGCAAATACAAGGACTGGATGGAATATAAAAAAAAAAAAGTGTCTCCACACGTCTCCAACACTCTGGATCACTAGGAAATGAGGTCCTATGTCCAAAATTCCAGACTGTCCCTTTAAGGCTTTGCTTGGATTTTTCAGCAGTGTGGCATTCTTACTTTGAGCAGGTCGCTTCTTCATAGAGCTTGTGTCACCTACTCGTCTCCATGGACATACAGTAGATCTGAAAAGTTGCGTAGTGGGCCTTTAAAGGTGTACTGCGTAACTTTTCTGGTGAAGGATCTGCCGTCTACTTATCTCCATGGAGACATTAAACAGCTCTACCTCACAATTATTCAATTACAGGTGGTTTTTTAGACTAGGGATGTAACAATAACCAAAATATCGTGATATCGTATCATTAAAGTTTTCACAATAATATCGTGGACCATCACAATATATCAAATTACAAGTCTCTTTGCTTAAATTAAGACTTATGGTGCAGCAAAAGCAAAAAAAAAAAGACAGAGGGAACTACGTAGACCAGGGGTGTCGAGCTCATTTTGGTCCGGGGGCCGTATCCAACTGACTTTGATCTCAAAGGGGCCGGATCAGAAAACTCATGTCATATAAACCCCAAAAATAACAATAAGTTCAAATATTTGTGCAGACAAACACAAATCTATTACAGAAATCTTTTTTAATTGATGAACTCTTTCTTATTATAAGTTTATAATATTATGAACAACCTGAAACTTTAAGAAAAATTCAATTTCAACACAAAGTTTTAACATGAACTTGTATGCAAACAGGAATAAGTCAATTTTTCTTGGAAAATCCTGCACTTGGCTCCACTTTTCTCATTTTTGACATTTTTCTGATGAGGGTGTCACGGTCAACAGTCAAAACGATCGTCCTTTAAGAGCGTTTGGAAAGAGACAAGTCTTCATTTGTGCTGCTCTGGTGGGAGGGGCCACGTACAGAGACGCTGGAGACGCTGCTGTGATAAACACCACAGAAAATTAACAAGATTTTAATAGAAAATATAATTACAATATTTTAGTAGAAAATCACCCAAGGGCCACATTAAAAGTCTTGGAGGGCCGGATCTGGCCCCTGGGCCTTATGTTTGACACCTGTGACGTAGACCATGATCCTTCGCTACATTTTAGTGCAGACTACAAGAAGAAATAACACTTCTAAGCACTTTTAAGTCTTCGTTCTTTGGATTAAGTCTTGTCAAGGCATTTTAAGAGGAAAAAAGTAGAATATTAACAGTTTTAGCCTCCACAAAATATCGCAATAAATATACCGTGAGATGTATATCGTGAAAATATCGTACCGAGAGATTTGGATATCGTTACATCCCTAATCGTGAGCTTCCCCATCATAATATCGTGAGCTTTCCCCTCGATATCGCAATAAATATCGTACCGACACAGACGTTCTGACTGTGAGCGGGGTCGCCTCTCCACAGATCTGACCTGTAACCTGGTCCGATTTGGTCTCCCGTGGAAAAAAGTTTAAATTTCATCCTGTGAAACATCCCAAACAAAGCGATACCACCTCCACAGAGAAAAGCATTTGATGGACTCTCCGCTAGACAAGTTACGCAATGCCACTTTCTTTTTAAGCTTTTCTACTTTTTCTTTGGCTTAAATTGTCTGAGACGGACACAACAAAATAAAAAAGCTGTGGTTGAATTTGTGTATTTATTCCTTGTGCGGAATTTAATTAAAAAAGTGCACCAGCTCTGAACCAGTCCTAACAACGAACCTTAAAGAAGAAGACGCAAAAATGGACTAAATACAGTTTCATTTCAACATTCTGGGGTTTTATAGTTTGTGTTTTGGGCCAGGACGAACTTTAGCTCCTACAGCCGCACAAAATCACATCATTTTTTTTTTACTAAACAATGAATTCTTTGTGTTTCTGTCACTACCCATCCTGCCTCACTGTCCACCGCTAACAAGTGCTCTGTGTCTGGTAGGGTGCGTTCACGGGACGTAGGAATTTTCTAAGATGATTCATAGTTTTCAGATTCGTTTCAGGTTTGATTTCTGTGGTGGAATTTGCTGTTTTAATTGTCGGATTACAGATTTTTTGACCTGGTTTGTGGTTCATATTTCTGTAATTACTTTGTCTGTTCATTTGAAACTAAAACTAGTACAAAGTTCAGCGACAAAATGGAAATATTTGGCTTCGTTTTCAACCTTAAAGATGTTACTAGTCGTCTGTTAAAGCCAATCTCAAACAAATAATGATAAAGTGAATCTATTCTGGATCGTAAAGTGTGTGTTTGTTTCTTTAAAAACAGCAAATCCTCCATAGAGTTTTATAAATGTGATTGAAAATTTTACATCAAATTCAAGTCAAATTGTTGAACGTGAACGCAACCTATTGGCATCACTCTTCCATCTCTCTCCCCCTCTCTCCCTCTCCTCTATCTCCTCTATCTCTTTTTCACTCTCCCCCTCTTTCTCCTCTCCTCTCTCTCTCTCTCCTCTCTCCTCCCCCTCTCTTTTTCTTTCTGTACCTTCCTCTCTCTCGAACGCCTCCTCCCTCCTTCTTCTCTTTCCATCTCTCTCCCTCTTCTCCCTCCCTCAATCTCGCTCTTTCTTCTTATTCTCTACCCTCTTCTCTCCTTCCCCTCTCTTTCTCTCTCTCCCCCTTTCTTTCTCTCTCTCTTCTCTCTCTTTTCTCTCTCTCATTCCCTCCAACACTGTCCCCCTCTCTTTTTCTTTTTCTACCTTTCTTCTGTCCTCCTCTCTCTCTCCCCCTCTCCTCTCTTTTCTCTTCTCTTCTCTCACTGTCTCTCTCTCTCTCTCTCTCTTTCTCTCTCCCCCTTTCTTTCTCTTTCCTTTCTTTCCCTCTTTCTCTCCTCTTTCCTCCCTCTCTCCTCTCCTCCCTTCTCTCTCTCTTCCTCTTCTCTCTCTCTCCTCTCCCTTCTCTCCTCTCTCTTCTCTCTCTCTCCCTTCTCTTCTCTATCTCTCCTCTCTCCCTCTTTCTCTCTCTCTGCTCTCTCCCTCTTTTCTCTCTCTCTCATTTCCTCTCTCTCTCTCTCTCTCTCTCTCTCTCTCTCTCCTCTCTCTCTCTCTCTCTCTTCTCTTTCTCCCTCTCTCCCTCTCTCTTCTCCCTCTCTTCCTCTCTCCCTCTTTCCTCTCTTCTCTCTCCTCTCCTCTCTCCTGCTCTCTCCCTCTTTCCTCTCTCTCTCCCTCTCTCTCTCCCTCTCTTCTCTCCCCTCTCTTTCTCCTTCCCTCTCCCTCTCTCTCATCTTCCTCTCTCTCTTCTTTCCTCTCTCTCTCTTCCTCTCTCCCTCTCTCTCTCTCTCTTCTCTTCCCTCTCTCCCTCTCTTCCTCCTCTTCTCTCCCCTCTCTCCTCTCCCTTTTCTCTTCTTCTCTTTCTCTCTCTCTCTCTCCTCTCTCTTTCTCCTCTCCTCCTCTCTCTCTCCTCTTCTCCCTCTTTTCCCTTTTTCTCCTCTCTCACTCTCCCTCTCTCTTTCTCTCTCCTCTCTCTCTCTCTCTCTCTCTCTCCTTCTTTCCCATCTTCCTCTCTCCCTCCTTCTCATCTTCCTCTCTCCCTCTTTCTCTCCTTCTCTCCCCTCTTTCCCTCTCTCACTTTCCTTCCTCTCTCTCTCTCTCTCCCCCTCTCTTTCTCTCCCTCTTCTCGCCCTCTCTCTCCTTTCCCATCTTCCTCTCTCCCTCTTTCTCTCCTGCTCTCCCTCTTCTCGCCCTCTTTCTCTCTCTCCTTCTTTCCCATCTTTTTCTCTCCCTCTTTCTCTCCTGCTCTCCCCTCTTCCTCTCTCTCCCCCCCCCTTTCTCTTCCCTCTCTCCCTCTTTCTCTCTCCTTCTTTCCCATCTTCCTCTCTCCCTCTTTCTCTCCTGCTTCTCCCTCTTTGCCTCTCTCACTCTCCTTCCTCTCTCTCTCTCCCCCCTCTCTTTTCCTTCCCCCTCTCCCTCTCTCTCATCTTCCTCTCTCTCCTTGTTTCCTCCTCTTTCTCTCTTTCTCTCCCTTCCCTCCCCCCTCTCTTCTTTTTTTCCCCCTCCCTCTCTTCCTCACTCTTCTTCTCTCCCCCTCTCTCCTTCTTTCCCACTCTCTCTCTTCTCTCTCCTCTCTCCCTCTCTTTCTTCCTATTCTCTCCCTCTTCCTTTCCCCCCCTCTCACTCTCCCTCCCTTCTCTTTCTCTTCCCTCTTTCCCTCTCTCTCTCTCCCCCTTCTCTCTCCCTCCTCTCCTCTCTTCTCTCTCCTCTCTCTCTTCTCCTCTCTTCTCTCTCTCTCTCCTTCTTTCCCATCTTCTTTCTCTCCCTCTTTCTCTCCTGCTCTCCCCTCTTTGCCTCTCTCACTCTCCTTCCTCTCTCTCTCTCCCCTCTCTCTTTTCCTTCCCCTCTCTCCCTCTCTCTCCTCTCCTCTCTCTCTCTCTTTTCCTCTCTTCTCTCTCTCTCTCTCCTCCCTCTCTCTCCTCCTCTCTCTCTCCCATCTTCTCTCTCTCCCTCTTTCTCTCCTGCTCTCCCTCTTCCCTCTCTCTCTCTCTCTCTCTCCTTCTTTCCCATCTTTCTCTCTCCCTCTTTCTCTCCTGCTCTCCCCTCTTTGCCTCTCTCACTCTTCTTCCTCTCTCTCTCTCTCCCCCCCTTTCTCTTCCCTCTCTCCCTCTTTCTCTCTCCTTCTTTCCCATCTTCCTCTCTCACTCTCCTTCCTCTCTCTCTCTCCCCTCTCTTTTCCTTCCCCCTCTCCCTCTCTCTCATCTTCCTCTCTCTCTTGTTTCCCCTCTTTCTCTCTCTCTTTCCCCTCCCTCTCTTCCTCACTCTGTCTTCTCTGCCCCCTCTCTCCTTCTCTCTCTCTCTGTTTCACCCGTCTGTCGCCCTCTCGCCCGCCCGTCTGTCCCGTTGTGGTCACTGCAGGCTTGCGCTGGATGACGCCATTCGCCACAAGCAGCTGAACCTGTCCCGTTTTTCACCCAGGGTCGCCGGGGAGAGCGACTTCCTGCAGAGCGTCATCAACAAAGTCATCACCGCCAAAGAGGTCAACCACAAGGGACAAGGTACAGGCTCCACACGACCAGCAAATACACTTAAAACTATAAGAGTCATTTGTTTTTTTTCACCTCCCAAAAATTAAGACGGCAGATTAGATTAGATATAGATGTTAATTTCTCCATTTTGAGACAATACAGTCAATAAAATGTGTTTGGACCTGTCAACTCATTTAAATCAACACTGTATTAAAGAACACTTACTGTATTTTTTGGACTGTCTAAGTCACACCAGCCAAAAAATGCATAATGAAGAAGAAAAAAAAACATATATAAGTCACACCGGGCTATAACACTTTTTAGGGGAAATGTATTTAATAAAATCGGAGACCAGGAACCGACATTTCATCTTAAAAGTCAAGTTCTAGTAAAAACAATAGAACAGAGAACAACAGACTGTTAACGTCACATATGAACAGTTCTTCAGATAAACTATAACATAAAAAACAGAACAGAACAAGTTTAACAAACTCTCCATCTCACTCCAAATCACTAAATCCATTCAATTCTTCATCCTCGGTGTCACTTCTGAGCAACTCCACGACCTCCGGAGGTAAACAGAGCGCCGCTTCCTCTTCTGTGTCGCTGTCGTCAGACTCAGCATCAGTTCCAGTTAGAATTATTCCAGCCTTTCTGAATCCCGACAGGATGGTTTCTGTGTCCTTGAAGTCCAGACTTTATCCATCCATCCAATGACTTCCAGGAAATGTTGCATCCTCCCAGTGTCACAAGTTTCTCGCTCACTCCAAACTTTCTTTCTGCTGCTCGATTATCGTTTTCGGCTGCATATTTTGCTCCTTGCAACTTGTAATCTGCAAAATATGATTTTCTTTTTGCGGACATTTGTGTTCAGTCTTCTCAGTCGTCTTTATAAGTTTGTTTAAATGTTACATTTTCAGTGGTGCAGAAGTAATGGTGCGATCGACTGACATGATACAGACAGGACAGAGGCTCTTTCTGCAGGAGACATGCGCAGTAGAGCCAAGTGACAGTGGTACAGGAGGAACAGGAGCAGCAGATACTGACACACAAGACTAGAGCGCCCCCTCCAGGCTGTCAGTGTGAACATTTTAATATATAAGTCACACTGGAGTATAAGTTGTAGTAAACACCCAAACCATAAAAAAAGTGCGACTTATAGTTTGAAAAATACGGTACACTGTTTCACATTTATGCTCAATCTCTAGGTATTAGTTGACATTGTAAAACAGAATATAGACTGTAAACAACTTCATAATAAAATTTGGTTTATTGACTTCTTGTTCAGAATTGCAAATCTTAAGATTTAAAAAAAAAATGAAGTTGGGACTCAATTTTAGAAAGATAATTTGAAAAGCAAACTTAAATCTGAAGTGATTTTTTTTTTTACCTGGCTGTCCCTCCAACTTCTTAATCATTTTGATAAGTTTGATTTCAAATCGCTTGTCACATATTTGAGGATTGTAAACGTATTATGAGAGACGATTGAGGATTTCAGTATTGTTTGGTTAGTTTTAATAATCGTGAACAAAACAAAACCAAACAAAAAAAGCGATGTTTCTCCTCAAAAATAACTCTTACACCACAATTTCATCTTCTTGACGTCTCTAATTTCGATACAGTACAAATAACTCAAATAACTCATTATTCTTTGCCACATCCGCTGTCACTGTGATGTTATACCAAATAAGAAAGCATGATTTCTTCAAGCACGCCTCTTATATAACCTCTATAAATAATCTCCCCATCGCCATGACAACGCAGGAGATCAGGAAGTAAAGCAGCCCCTTAATTAAGAAGCATGCGTCTCTCGTCTCTCGTCTCTCGTCTCTTGTGCTTGACTGGGTTTTGTCAGTGCTTTGACATGTTAGTTTCACATTAGCTCCACATTAGCCGTGGCGGGGGTGAGCGCGTGAGACGGATGAACTTAAAATGTCATTTGAGACGAGGTCCACACTGAGAGAAACAGAAGACGCCCGCAGAGCCCGAATCTGTGTCTGTCTCGTATCAAAAGACTTCCGACAATAAGAGCGACATGGGGCCTGCGAAGAGACGCTTAATAAAGTTTTAAGGATCGAGAGAAGCGCTGGGTTTGATGTCTGGAGAAAACATTAAGCCCAGCGTCAAATACATCAAATAAAGCTTTTTAGACGGAAATTGTTAAAGGTGAACTGTGTACCGTATTTTTTGGACTATAAGGCGCACTTAAAATCCTTTCTCAAAAATCAACAGTGTGGTTTATAATCCGATGCGCCTTCTGTGAGTGTGTATACATGCACATCAATAACCCGGTTATTAGCCATACCCCGGTTATGTCAGTATTCGGGTTACTGCGTATACATGCGCACTGAGAAACCGGGACACTCATATCCGCGTATACATGATCAAATGGAGTATCCCGGTTTCTTGACATAATCTTACAAATGCGCATGCGCAAAAATTAACTTAAATCAATTTAATAAACCAGGAAAAATACAAACCGTGAGCTCCTTTATCATAAGAAGCTAAGGAGCTACGAGATCTCCCACAATCCACTGTGCAGATTCTTCATTAAAATCTTCTGCATAAATAAACTCAACTTTACAACATATAAACCATAAACACTAGAGCTACATCAGCCCGTTTGATCAGATCATTCAGCTGTGATCACATTTGTTTATGTTTTACAGAAACGAAACTTAAGGCCGTTTGGCTAATTAGCATAAACTGTTAGCGGCGATAAAAACAACTCGCTCCTTGCGCCGCTGATGCGTGATGTGTGTTATTTCTGTGACAGAAGAGGTGCTAATGATGGTAAGTGTGTTCCGTGCATATAGAGTATAGGAGATAGTTGTTGTTTTAGCTTTTCAGCGTCACACGAGTGCAGGTCGTACGAGTGCAGATTGTACGTGTGCAGGTTTAGCGCAGCTCTTTATTTTACAGTCATTTCACTCGTTTGGTCACTTTATTTATGTTGGTCAATTTATTTATGTGACTACTGTTGTGGTGAAAGGCTGGAAAGTGTCTTTTGGACGCATGCGCACTCAACTTTATGTTGCAGTAACCGGGGTACTGCGTATACATGCCACAAGTAACCCGGTTACTATCGGAATAAACCAGCTACAGTAACCCGGTTTCTAATAACCAGGATACTGCCATAACCGGAATACTGAAACCGGGTTACTGCGTATACATGCACCATGAAGAAACCGGGATACTCAAAAAACCCGATCATAACCGGGTTATTGATGTGCATGTATACGCACTCTGTATTAATTCTGGTTGTGCTTACTGACATCAGACCGATTTTATGTGGTACACGACGCTCAAAAATCGATCAAAATGTTTTAGTATGACTTTGGTAAACTACGAAGACGAAGACGATTGATTGTTGGAGCATTACACCTACCGTAGTCAGGAGTCTTGCGGGGTATAAAGTTAACATGAACCATCTCCAACGTGATAGAAGCACAGAACAGACTCACCACCAGTAGCACATCCTCTGTCACAGAGAGAACACTCATATTCCACTGAGTTGTGTGCTTTAATCCGACAGAAGCTGAACCGCATCAGCGCACAAGGAGCGAGCTGTTTTTTCAGCGCTTATAGTTTATGCAAATTAGTCATGTGGTTTTAAGTTTTGTTTCTGTAAAATGTAAACAAATGTGCACAAAGCTGTATTAAACACATTATTACTCAATGTATATTTGTGTCCTCCTCGAAGGAAATTAAAAAACAAGCTTAAATGATCCACCCACATTCACATTCATAATAAACGAATTACGTCACGATCTGCCAATGAATCATGGACGCCTGGACTAAAGGATCAGTCTCAATTGTCTGTTTGTTTCACTTTATGTATGAAAATAGACGAGAGAATTCAGCATTATTGATATTAGTCAAAGGTTTGGACACATCTCCTCATTTATTTATTTTTTCTTTGCGGAATTATGGAGTAAATAGAGAAAATTTAAATGACAAAACTAAATATTTGTTATATTTAATATTATAATTCCTCAAAGTAGCCAAACTTTGCCTTGTTTACAGCGCTGCAAACCGTTGGCTTTACGATGACGTCCTTTAAAATGGTTATCAAGTGCGTCTTTTGTGTGTGTTATGACTCTTAGTGTACATTTAATGCCTTACTGCATTCCAAGCAAACCAATAATACCTCAACTGCTTGCACCCTCTCATTTTAAGGTATAATAAGTAGAGATTGAAATTAAAAGTGTTTTTGCAAATCCATTGGGCAGGTCACATCGGGAAAAAAAAAAACAAACACTTAAATTTGTCTTTTTTTCTCCAAAGATATTATAGCAATTGATCGGAAATTTTATATGTACTTTTAAAAAAAATAATCGCTCCCTTTTGCTACATTTATTTATACAGTTATTTTGGACAGTGCATTTGTTCTATAATTTTGCATATCTAAAAAAAACTGCAATTTTACAATACTATAAAATATATATTTATTTTTTACACTCAGTACATTCAGCTCTTTACGCTCTAGTCCCTCTAGTCACTCAGTTCAAAGTGCACACTCACTCGAGTTGAGGATCAGTCTGTCTGTGCCTGAGTCTCGTGAGAATTCGGGGCTTGAGAAACTGCAGAAACCGCCACATCAGGAGGAACGAGCTCGATAAAAGTAAAAAAAAAAAAAAAAATCATTCTTCCCTGTGAGCCTCTGACGTTTAACTGTGCAGAAATACAGAAATAACCCGTGGAAGTCCTTTAGTTTCAGATCTATACTGTGTTCTCTCAAGCAGCTCTTCCACTTTTCACACCAGTTATTCAACCCCGGGACCCGAGAGCCGCTACAGAGACACACTAAAGACACGACAAATAAAGAGATGACGTTCAGACTGCAAGGCTTATTGCTCGATTTGGATTTTTTTGCGAGGTCGTTCATATTTCCAATTAAATGCGACTTGTATGTGATCTCCGGTGTGAACTATAAACGCCCCAAAAGTGTCCCGCAAGTGCACCACACAAATAGTCCAGTGAGATTCATTTGGTCTTCCGATACTTTATGTTACTAGGTTCTTTTTGCAGACCTAGAGTTTTGTTTCATACCTGACAGTTTCGACTGCTCGCTGCGGTCTTCCTCAGAGTGATCACGTGATGTTGCTGTGACGCGTCTGGTCAGCTGATTTAAAGAGTTTTTTTTTTAACACAATATCAACACACCAGTGAAACCGTACAGAAAACTCAGACAACTACTCATCCACCCGAAAGACAAAATAGAACCGGAGCATAAATGTAAGGTCATATACGAAATACCCTGCATGTCCTTCAATAAAACAAACATCGGGGAAACAGGAAAGGCGTTCAGTAAACGATAAAAGGAACATAGAACAGATTGCGAGAAGAAAACAGCGAAGGCGAAACACGAGCAACAAAACACAAAGCAGAACAGGAACAACTCAAATTGGCCATTTCTGACCATTGTAAAAGAGATATTATGGACTGGGATGCAGAAAACATCACTGGGACAGAGGAAAACAAACATCGCCGCTGGATTAAAGAAGCAATCGAAATACATGGGACTATAAACCGGGACGAGGGGGCTTTTTTACTCTCACACACCTGGGATACTGTCCTGAGGAAGTCGGACTGCAGATGGCGCTGTCGTCCTGCCTCCACCGGTAGGAAGACGGCGCCAAAACCTGTTTAAATCAGCTGAGCGGACACGTCACAGCAACATCACGTGATCCACTCTGAGGAAGACGCTAGTGAGCGGTCGAAACTGTTAGGTCTGAAACTAAACTCTAGGTCTGCAAAAAGAACCTAACAACATGACGTCGCACAAAGCCAGCATGGTCAGGGTTTACGGAAGTTGTCTAAACGCTGAGCTTGTCTCCAAAATACGGTCCAGTTCTTCATAAAATTGGACAGGTTACACGTCCACGGCTGCTTGGTTTGTTTGAGTCTTTAGTCTCCTTGGATTTGGCTCCCAGGCTCGTTATTTTTCGTTGACATTGGAGCCAGGACCGTCCATTTCAGAAACCGCCCAGTTCCAGTAAGACTCATCCAATTTGGCCTGAATACAGCGATCCCCCCAAATATGAATAAACTCTCTAAACTCACTTTCCCTCCATTGACTAGACTCCGAGCCTGACGTGTAGGTGGGATGAATGTGACCTGACCGTTCAGACTGAAGTTGCATGGCAAAAGTTCAGATATGTATCGGTTTTAGGAGCACATATCCAAGTGGTCTGTGTCATTCAGACTGTCACTAAAGGTTGTATAGAGGATTTTCCAAGGAACGAGAAATCCAGCGACTGTTTGTCCTTTTTCAAATGTTGCGCATGCGTGAAACCCCCCCCCTCCCCTACAGCTCCTACGTAGAAACGCCTCCTCCCGCCTCCTCCTTACGCCAGAAACAGGTTTTGTTTACAGCCGGTGCTGCACATGACTTGTAAACAACTAACTACAGTGTTGGTTAGGCAAGACGGAGAAGTGAGGAGCGGGGGGAGCGGGTGTGCGGACATTTTGTGCGCGGACGAGAAGTTAGGAGCAGGGAGAAGAACGGAGCAGGGAGAGAGGAGAGGAGAGGGGAGGGGTGTGCGGAGATTCCGTGCCCGGAGAAGTGAGGAGCAGGGGAAGAGTGGATCGGGCAGCGGGGACAGGAGCAGGAAAGGGGTGCAGAGAAGGTTGCGCGGAGATTCAGTGCGAATGAACTAGCTACAACACGCAGCAGCAAGCGGACTCTTTCTTTGCCTTGAAAATTACGTTTTCAGACATAGGATATCGCTTTCGTGTCCTGAAAAACGTTTGACTAGCTCTTGGAAATAAAGTACGTTTTCATAATAAGCAGAAGTTTCCTGTCCAGGAGTAATTTGTGGACCAGTGCGTCAGTCTTTAGACCCTGCGTCTGCTTCAGTCGCGCCATCGCTGGAATGAATCTACAAGAATCACCTTAGTTTGGCTTCGCTGCTTTTCCCCTTGTCTTCTTCTTTCAGCGACCTCAAAAACGGACTTTCTTTTGCGGCGAACTGCTCCTGGATTCTTGTCGCCATTGCAACAAACTTTGTGCGAACTGCAAGGAAGATATAGGTCAAAAAAAGCCACTAAGAACTGTTGCGTTGGTGGAGTAAACAGCGTCTGTGCGTCTTGCGTCTGTGGACTGCGTGACAGTCGTACGTAAACCACGTACCGGCGGCGCGCAGGCAAGTCAGTTACGCTAGAAACGTAGGAAGATTGATTGACAGCCTGTCAGCTCACAGATAACGAGGCAGTGTCGTTATCTATTGGCAAATGTTTAGCCCCACCACGTCCAGAGTTGATGAATTTTTATTCTCTTTTTTTGGTCATCATAATTACAAGGCTACTGCACCTCTATAATCTATCACTGACAACTTGAAACAAAAAAAAATCCTCCTTTTCTGGTGGAGGGTCCATCAAATGCTTTTTCTTCTTATTGTTATTTATTGTATTAAGCCTTTTTATGTTCGTGGAATCCCAAACCAGACCAAGTTACAGGTCAGATCTGTGGAGAGGCGACCCCGCTCACAGTCGGAATCCCTCCTTTTTGAGGTATTTTTGAGCTGTAAAACCACCTGTAATTGAATAAATGTAAGGTAGAGCTGTTTAAAATCATACTGTGGAACATTCCAGGCAGAGCAATGATGTATCCATAGAAACAAGCAGGTAACAGACAATAGGTGAGATGATCTGTGGTGTTAAAAAGTCTCTCAAATATAAAATTAAAGTCACAAGTTGGGCTGGGTATCATTAAGAAGTTGCCGATACGATACATACCTCGATACATTGGCCACGATACAATACGTTTTTCGATACAGCGCGCTTTCGATTCAATGTGATTCAATATATTTCAAATCGATTCAATATGGTTTGGAGAAAAAACAAAGGCTGAATCATGGCTGTGATACTAAAAAATCCACTAAATTTGTGCAAAGTTAACACGAAAAACACCCATTTTACTCATCAAAACGGTGAAAATGTCAACACAATTAAAGTAAAATATACCAAAAACTACTCTCGATGCAGCAGCCCATGATATCAATACTGTATCATCACATTAAACGGTACGATATATCGATATTTCAATATTTTTGCACACCTCAAGTCACAAGTGAGCAAGTATCAGCCAACACTTTTATCGGTTCTAAGATATCAGTTTAGCCAATATCCAGTTTTTGTGTGTAAATTGGTGAATTAAGGTGAAATACTGGCCCAAAAATGTCTCATAATATTTTGAAAAAGCTGTTCTGAAGTTGAAGTGATAAATAACAGATGATCTCCTCTTGTGTCTCAGGTCTGTGGGTGACTCTGAAGCTTCTCCCCGGAGACATTCATCAGATCAGGAAAGACTTTCCTCACCTGGTCGACCGCTCCACCGCTGTGGCTCGTAAAATGGGCTTCCCAGAGATCATCATGCCAGGTTTGACTCTACACACGGTCCATCCTAGATCCTCTACACACTTTTAGATTTAATATAATAGATGTTCACGTTGAAAAAATATAAAGAAATAAAATAGAAAGTAGAACCTTAACTTGGTTGTGATTAAAAAACATCTTGGACCTTACTTGTAGGGCTGCAAATTTAAAATTCTAGTTCAAATAATGACAAATATTTATAAGTTACATAATGTCCCCTACAAATGACTTAATGACTTGCCTCAGTGGATTCATTTACATATAAAACCTGTTTTCGGAGTTTAGGTCCTTACAAACATATTCTAACCATTAAGATATTATGATACAGTCTTGATAAAATATTTAGTTGTGCATGATGTCTTGCACATTTTTATTTTATTTAACTTTCACATTTGTCACTGGAGAAATGGCAGATGGAGAATAACCTTGAAATGTGTGTTTTCTTCTATAGGTGACGTGAGGAATGACATCTACGTGACTCTGGTCCAGGGAGACTTCGACAAAGGAAGTAAAACCACCCCGAAAAACGTGGAGGTGACGATGACTGTTTACGACGAGGACGGCAAGAGACTGGAGGTACAGTACTGCAGATCTGTGAGGGGTTTAACAGAGACCTTTAAGAGAAAAACTCCTGCTGAGTATTCTTTTTTTTTTCACTGTGGAAAACCCAAATACATTCTATAACTTTATTTTCTTACAGCTTTTACAATACCTATATAGTACAGTTATAATAATGGCCAATAACCTAATAATTTTATATGTAATAAGTCCAAAGAAAAACCTCCAAAGATCTAAACCAGGTCTATAATGGGACTATTCCATGTCTAATCTAGGACTAAACCAGGTCTAAAAGTGGACTACTTCATTCCCACAGAAGATTTAAACAAGAAAACCAAAACAGGACAAAAAAAGTGGACAAAATTAACTCTAAATGAGGCAAATCCACAAAGGAGCTCACATACCAGCAGTGATACACGTACTACAGTTTGAGAAACAATGTCAAACTATAATAAGTCATTAAATTATTGCCTGATGAGGAACATTTTCTCTAATAATGTAATAACTGCAGCCAAGAATGTAGTAATTATTGTAAGATGTTTTTATGTTATCAGCCTGTTATTACATTATAGCTGTATTACATTTAAACTTGGCCAAAATGATTAAGTTTTTGACCACTGTTATATTACACGTTACACAGTGCTGTCAGAAGTATCAAAAATCAGATACTAATTCAGTTCGAAACTAGTATCGGATCTAAATATTCATTTGAGCAGGTATCGATACTAAAAAAGTCACATTCACAGGACAGAAATGAACCTTTCCTGAAGCTTTAGAATGATTTTGGGCTGTATCAGAACAAATATAAGAGCACACAGACTAGTATAAACCCATGGACCACTATTGAACCAACCTGGACCAGGGGATTACACAGATATAAAACCACATGGAAATATAAAAGAAAGTACTGTATTTTTTCAGGCTATGAGTCGCTCCAGAGTATAAGTTGAGAAAATAACTATCAGAAAAAGAACATATAAGTCACACTTTTTAATTTTAAAAATCAGAAACCAGGAACCGACATTTCATCTTGAAAGTCAAGTTCTAGTAAAAACAATAGAACAGAGAACAACAGACTGTTAACGTCACATATGAACAGTTCTTCAGATAAACTATAACATAAACAACAGAACAGAGCAAGTTTAACAAACTCTCCATCTCACTCCAAATCACTAAATCCATTCAATTCTTCATCCTCGGTGTCACTTCTGAGCAACTACACGACCTTCGGAGGTAAACAGAGCGCCGCTTCCTCTTCTGTGTCGCTGTCGTCAGACTCAGCGTCAGTTCCAGTTAGAATTATTCCGGTCTTTCTGAATCCCGACAGGATGGTCTCGGTGTCACTGAAGTCACTTAAATTAAAAATTGTTCAGTGGTACAGAAGTAATGGTGCGATCGACTGACATGATACAGACAGGACAGAGGCTCTTTCTGCAGGAGACATGCGCAGTAGAGACAAGTGACAGTGGTACAGGAGGAACAGGAGCAGCAGATACTGACACACAAGACTAGAGCGCCCTCTTGTGGCTGTGATTGTGAAAATTGTAATATATAAGTCGCACTGGAATCGCAGGACCACCCAAACAATTAAAAAATGTGTGACTTATGGTCCAAAAAATACGTTACCATTCTTTAATTAAAACCTTTCTAATTCCATGCAATCATGCAGGTGACATTCCACCTCGTGAAAGTTACGTACTTAATAGAAGTTGTGTGTACCATAGATTTGTGTTACTACTTACATTGGTCGTCACAGTTTTCCCTTTTACCTATTCTCACTTAAAGGTGCACTGTGTAACTTTTTGGTTGGGGCTTGTTTCTGTGGATATGCCTGGAATGTTCCACAGTATCACATTAAACACATTACTTTATTACCTCCGCCAAGGGGTTATGTTTTTGCCGGCGTTTGTCTGTTTGTTTGTTTGTTTGTCTCTTAGCAACATAACTCAAAAAGTTATGGACCGATTTTGATGAAATTTTCAGGATTTGTTGGAAATGTGAAAAGGAAGAACTGATTTCATTTTGGGGGTGATCCGGAAGAAATCCTGGATTCTGGATCACTTTGAAATTTTAGTTAACATTGTGGTAAATGGGGCCAAAAATTTTGTTTCTCAATATCTCGGTTAATTATTGACCAAACCCCATGAAATTTGACTCAGGGATGGACAATGGGATCCTCTTTCATATTCCAAAGGCTGATCCGGATCTGATCCAGAAGACTGATTTTATCGCAATTTATATAAAAAACGGGGGTAGTCCTTGGCGGTGCTTTTCTAGTATTTATTCTATTACAGGTAGTTTTACAGTTCAAAAATACCTAAAAAAACAAAAAACCCAAACACAGATCTGACCTGTAAGTTGATCTGGTTTGGTCTCCATGAAGATAAAAAGGTTTAATGCCATATTCTGAAACATTCCAGGCAAATCAGTAACAGGAAAGTTACACAGTGCAGCTTAAATAAACCAGTTCTTTGTATAAACCCTAAAAAGTGCACAATTAGCTGTTTCTGTTTTTTTTTTTATGTCTGGTGGCCTGGTCTTGTTTGGTGGACTGAGTTTGACCCAGCGCTGTCGTATAATGTTCCTTTCTCACTGTCAGACTAAAGACCCGGGGGACAGAGAAACTGCACAGTCAGCACCTCTGCTTTTGCATACAGATACTTTATACTGACTGTTGGGATGTTTGGGGCAGTCAGTCACTTTGCGGTAAATAAAACCAACCCAAAATCACTGGGGAAAGAATATTTGATGAATTACACTGTGTATTTATTTTGTCTTTTTACACAAACATATTCAGATTTCTAGTACATCTTCCTCGTTGTTTTTTGTGTGAGTTTGTGACGTTAGGACGGCAGTTTTTAGTCGACCGGGAATTTCCGACCACAACTTCTGTTTGCGTGTCAAATATTTTGCTCTATTGAAAAGTAATACTAAATGAATTGGACAAGCATATGTATATATCCAATCCACTTTATTTATAGAGCACATTTCACAAACAAACAGTTTCCCAAGTGCTGCACAAATACATAATAATAATATTGGTTTTACTGATTTAATTTATTTATTGGTTTATTTATTTCTATTCTATGATATAGTTTTATTTTTATATTTACTGGTTTTATATTATTTTACTAGTTTTATTACTTTAAGACTAGTATTATTTTAGTAATTTACTTTATCATCTTATTGTTGTTATTTTTTATGTATTTGTGCAGCACTTTGGAAACAGTTTGTTTGTGAAATGTGCTATAGAAATAAAGTGGATTGGATTGGATAATAAGAACAACAATAATAAAATGATAAAATAAACGCTCAGATTTAATCATACTAGACTTAAAACAATAAAACCAGTAAAATAACATAAGAGCGAAATCATAGAATAGCAATAAATAAATAAATAAATAACATCAATAAAGTACAATAAAAATAAATAAAAGACAGAGAGGACGTGTTGTTAAAAGCCAGAGAATAAAAGTGGGTTTTAAGATGAGACTTAAAACACTCATATAACATATAATAGCGGATAAACTACTTAAATATCACACTACCAGTCAAAATTGTAAACATCCATCTTATTCGGAGCCGGTTCGCAGGGGGCAGCATTCTGAGCAAGGACACTCAGACTTCCTTCACCCCAGACACTTCCTCCAGCTCCGCCCCAAGGTGTTCCCAGGCGAGAGACATAGACCCTCCAGCGTGTCCTGGGGCTTCCCTGGGGCCTCCTCCTGGTGGGACATGCCCAGAACAACACCTCAGGGAACAGACGCCCGAGCCACCTCAGTTGCTCAACTTGACATGGAGGAGGAGCGGCTCTACTCCGAGCTCCTCCCCTGTGACTGAGTTCCTCACCTTATCTCGTTTCGATCATTACCTAGAGCTCATGACCACAGATGAGGATAGGAATGTAGACTGGCCGGTAAATCGAGCGCTTTGTCTTTGGACTCCGCTCCCTCTTCACTGTAATGGTCCAATACAGTGACCACATCACTGCAGATGCGGCATCGATTGGAACTGGAGACACACTTTCTTTATTGTCATGACTATTTTCATTTTGTAGATTTTCACTGACGGCATCAAACCTGTGAAGGAATACACCATGTACCAAACAAGAAATAACTCAACCAAAATAACTCGAAACTTTCACTCGCTGCTTTGTTCTTTTAGCATTTCTTGACCTTGACAAGGCACGACAGTGAAGTGAAACCCATTTCAGAAGAGTTCATCACGAGGCTCAGTGAGAGATTGCCGAGGGTTTGTAGTGCTGTTAACAAAGCGAAGTGCGACTACTTTGAGAAAGTGGAATCTAAAATGTAGTTAGTTATTTGACTTTTTGATTTGCTCCATAATTCCATAAATCTTGCACGATATATTTCATGTCTTCCGAGTTTATCTAACATGTAAAGAGCAGTGAACATAAAGAAAAAGACTTGAATTTAAAGATGTGTATGAATAAATGCATCTGGACACTAAACAGAGAGTGCATGAAATGTGTTGTTTTGTTTATCAGACGCGGCCCCTCCTCCCGCTCCTCTGTGTTCTGTGCGTGAACACAGACTGATAATAGCGTCTGATTGGTCTGATGAGAAAGTCTGACTCTTGGGAGGGACCGTCTCAAACTGCCAATCAGAAATAAGCATAGTGGCTCCCCCCGGTCGCCTAAATTACATACATTATTGTAGATTCAGTGATTTGGCCCCGCAGGCAGAGGAAGTGTGCGTCTGTGATTACAATATGGATAAATACAGGTCTAGACAAACACAAAAAAGAGAGGTTAGGTTGTATCAGGTGATGAAGTGCTCCGTAAATAGGCAAAATATATATGCGTTTGGGTCATTTTTAAATAAATAAATGACTGAAAAAGAAGCATTCAAATGTTTACACTGAATTTGACAGTACCTGTAGACTCAGTTGGTTAAAGCAACCATCCAAAGGTCAGACAGCCTCTTGTACTTACACTGTTGTATTTACAGAAGGCAGAGATGTCCAGACTTTTTTCATTTTCATTGATGCATAGAAGG